AGAGAATCCGTCACTGAGAGGGTAGCAAGTAGAAGTATCGTTAAAATTATAATTGAAGAAAATCTCATTTTTACTTGTGACTAAATACTTAATGAAATAGAATTAACAATGTTTTGAACTGAATATCACACACTAGTAAGAGGAGTATAAACAGAAGCTGCAAGTCGAGTAGTGGGAGTAGGACAGAAATTGCTTCTTGGGAGATACGAACATTATTATCATCATCATGTAGAAGGTTTCTGCGCATCCGCGCTTGATTTAAATAGACACAAGACATTTTAAATATATGTACAATTGACACACGTTTATATTATGGTTATGTTTTTTGTTATACAACTGTACATAAGGGTCAAAATATCACTGTAAAAAGAAAGGTACTAATTTAGTACCAATTTTGGTACTAAATCGTAATTTGGTTCTATTTTAATACCGAAATTAGCTCTAATTTAGAACCTTTTTTTTTACAGTGATGTGCCTAAATTTTTTAATTAAAATAAAATCTTTGAAATGTTGAAAAAAGGGTTATTTTTTCTTAGTTATGTTCTAAAATATGTCAAAAATCATAAAACGCAAGATCAAGGAACACTTCTCTGATCAAAAATATTTTTTTTAGTAATCACATAAGTATTTAACCCATTTCTATATGAAGCAATTATACCTCAAAAGTTTATAAGAATAATTAATAATTTTCATTTTAACTTGGTTTGAACATTATTTAAAATATATGCAAAAATTATTTACAAACATCAATAACTTCTTTTTTAAATAAATATTTAATCATTATCATTATTTTTTCATAGGAGTTAAAAATTTCAAATTCAAATTTTTTGAAATTCAATAACTTATAAGAATATTATTCTTAACATCATGTCATGATTATTGTTACTCTAACTGCTTCAAAATTTTGTTCATCTAAATTAAATTATTATTTTTCAGAATTTTTAACTAAACTTCTTCTTTAAATCAATTATTTTTAATAATTTTTTAAAAAGTTCTCTGAGAATTTTCAAATCCATTTGTTAATTTGTTTATAATTCAACTTTACAGAAATTTTGATTATTCTGAAGTTCTTCATATAATATTATTAGAAAATAAAAATTTCAAAAAAAAAAAAATTCAATTAAACTTTTTCAAAAAAATTAATTCCACAGAATTGTTTGTTAAAAATATGAAAAATCCAGATTTTCAAATATTTAAATTTGAAATCTCTGCAAAATTCAATTAGGATTTCTAAAAATTCACGCTATAATGCTTTTAATATGAAATTATTATCTAAAATTTTAACTGAAATTCATTTAATAATAGAATGGTTTCTTAAAATTTCAATTTTACGAAGAATTTTATTAAGAGCCGTCCATAAATTACGTATAAGACATTTAGGGGGGAGGGAGGGTCAGCAAGATCTTACGAACAATAGAAAAAATGACGCTAATGTATGTCAAATATTTTACGAGGGGGGATGGGGGGGGGGGCAAATTTTCCAAAAAAAAATGTCTTACGTCATTTATGGACTTTTGAAAATAATTAATTTCTTTTAAGGAATTTAATTAAAATTTTAGTAAAATTTATTAAATTTTCAAATTTTTACAACAATTTTTGAAAATAATTGAAAACTTTTTGAAGAATTTTATTAAAATTTTTGAAAATACATAATTGATTTCCTAAAAAGAATTTAAATAATAATTTATGAATATTATTGAATGCAAGCAAAGAATTTTTCTTAAATTTTGAATTAAATAATATTGAAATTTCTCCAAGAATTTTATTAAAATTTTTGACAGTAATTTTATTTTTAAAAATAATTTCGCTCTCGACTTATAAAGATAATTTAATTATTCCTGACAAGAATTTTTGAAAAATTTTGAAAATAATTTAATTTCTGCAAAGAATTTTATATTACTTTTCAAAAGAATTGAATTCTTGTGATGAATTTTGATATATTTGACGGGTTCCACGTCAAGTGACCCAGGTCAAAAATTTACATGGAATATTTGAAAAATTTGTAGTTTCTTTAAAACAAAACGAAAATACGTTTTCTATTTTGGGGTTTTCTGCTGTTTTTCAACACTTTCTAATAGTGTGAACAAATGTAGAGAAAAAAAATTGTTTGACCTTGAAAAATTAAATTAAAAAATAAAATTTCATTTTTTTATCAAATGGGCAGTTTGTATTTTTTTAAAAAAAATTTTATCATAAAGGTGAGGTTTTTTCCTAAAAAAAATGTATAGGTCAAAACGTGGGACAAGAACTTTTAACTGGTCAAATTAAGCATTTACTTCTGCCGTGCACCGTCCCACAGTGGAATTTTTTTTACAATTTACTATTAAAAAATGTCTATAGCTTACAATTTTTAACCGATTTGAGTGTTCTTTGTCTTAAGTTAAAGGGGAATAAATTCTTAAGACATCCTTCGAGGCAGATTTTGGAGATTTTAATTATTTATAATTTTTTTTAAATCAAAGTTAACAAATTAATACACTTTTTTAAAAAAAGGAGGTTTATTTTCTTATTCCGTTGATGCACATGATCTAAATCAATTTAAATTCATCCAATATGACCACCAGATAATTAATAAAGCATAAAATAATTTATTTCAATTGTTATAAACAATATATAGCCCAACAACGAGCAGGGGCGGTGGATTGCAGAAGTAAATGTTTATTTTGACCAGTTAAAAGTTCTTGTCCCACGTTTTGACCTATACATTTTTTTTAGGAAAAAACCTCACCTTTATGATAAAAATTTTTTTTAAAAAATAAAAACTGTTCATTTGATGAAAAAATGAAATTTTATTTTTTAATTTAATTTTTCAAGATCAAACATTTTTTTTCTCTACATTTGTTTACACCATTAGAGAGTGTTGAAAAACAGCAGAAAAACCCAAAATAGAAAACGTATTTTCGTTTTGTTTTAAAGAAACTACAAATTTTTCAAATATTCTATGTTAGACCAAAAATTTAAACTTTGACCCCCTCCAGTTTTAATATTTGTTTAAATAAATTAATAATATTTGGTATTTTTAATTGTATCTAATAGGACTACTGTTTCTGCAAAATTTTAACCCGATCCCAAACATTTAAAATTTTGACCTGGGTCACTTAACGTGGAACCCGTCATTTATCAAAATAATTGCATTTTGGAAAAGAATTTTATGAAAATTCCTTAAAATAATTAGGTAGTTTTATGAGGAGAATTTTATTGTTTATCAAGATAATTTAATTCTTTTGCGCAGAATTACTTAAAATTTTTTGAACATAATTGAATTGTTGCAACGAATTTTCTTATTTCATTGAATAATTTAATGTTTCTTAAAATTCAATTCTTTCGTCATGTTTTAATAAAATTTTTTAAGAATAATTGCATTTTTCGAGGAATTTATTTAAAATTGTGTATTAAAAATATTTGAAATTCTGCGATGAAAATAATTTAATTCCTAAATGAAGTTTAATTTACCCGTGTAGAAATTGCCCTACTAGGGCCATAGTAAGGAATGAAACGCCGCGCCCGATCAGGGCCAGATCGGGGCGACAAGAAAATGTGGATTTCCTGATCAGGGCCACATCGGGCGCGGCGTTTCATTCCCTAATAGGTCGGCCCTATCCGGCCCTGATCAGGGCCCCAGCGAAATTTCTACACGGGTATTTTTATAAATAATTGAACGTTTTCGTAGAATTGCAAAAAAATTTTCTGATAAATTATTTGATAAATTTTATGAAAATAGTAAATATATTGAAAATCATTTAATTGCGAAAAACTTTTAAAAATAATTGAAATTTTGCAAAATAATTTTATTTTAATTTGTGAAAATAATTGAATTTTGGGCGAAAAATTTTGCTATTTATAAAGATAATTGAATTTTTGACGAGATATTTGTTGAAATTTTTAAAAATAATTGAATTTCTTCAAAGAATTTAATTACTTTTGAAAATAATTGAATTCTTGTAATGAAAATTGTTATTTATGAAAATAATGAAATTTTGCAAAGAATTCTATATACTAAAATTCTTAAAAATAATTTAAAAAATTTGTTAGTTATCAAGATAATTGCGTTAAAACTTTTGAAATAATTATAAATAATATTAAAAAATTCATTCTTGTCAGAATAAATTGAATTTCGTATAAAATTTCGTACAAATAATAAGGATTTCCATAAAAAAGACAAAAAACTTTTATTGTCAATTTTTACGAAATTCTCAATAATTTTCGTTTAAAAAATAGTTCCAAAACGACATACGAATTTATGACGTAATTCTATACATAAAATACAAGCAAAATCTACATAGATTTCTAGTAGAATTTCTTATGAAATTCAATTGAATTTTTTTACCAGAGAAACTTCTAAACATATCAAGCAATTTTATGTAACGTGAGAACTAAATTTAAAAAACGGTAAAAAGAATTATTTTGAGAAATATTCAAGAAAAATGGATAAGTAATAACACATTATTGAGCATTATTATAAAATTATTATAAGAGAATATTAACCGTTCAATATTTTTAAAATCATTTATAAGAAAAAAAAATATATCTATTGATTTCAAGTTGAGCTTTTTTTAATATTACGTATAAGAATCATAAGTTCCAATGAGGGGACGACAATATACTTTTCGGAGAAATAAATATTAATAAAGTAAATATAGATCGAGAATACAGACGATTCTGTGATGTTATTTTAGTGTATTTTCTCCTAATCTATATCTAAATTTTGACATTTTATTTTGTATCCCAATATAAGAAATAATTACAAAATATCAAATAATTTAATGATAAGAAAATTTCGCAGAGTTTTAGGAATAAAATAAAAATTACAATCCCAAAAAATGATTTCCAATCTGTTTTTGTTTTCAGCGTTAAACTGTATATAAGCAAGTATAATGTACTCTTTCAGAAGGGATGCATTTGGCACAATCTGTATCAGTAGACTTGGAAATAATACAGAACTGGATGCGCAGCATCCACATGAGCTTTATAATGTAGCATCTGACAGAATTCAGAGAAGCGCAGTCGCGTTTCGGTGGCCTTCTAACAGGGGTGGAGTCTTTCGTTTTTACTCTCCATTAAGTCAACAAAAATTTTTTAATTCCTTTTTTCAACATTGTATTCTAATTGAATGCAAAAAATTAAGTAAATTTTTTCATCGAAATACATCAAGGTACTAAACACAAAAAAAATTTATTTTCTCCCAACACAAAAGAAGCTATTTTTCTTCAAAAAAAAAAAAATCAACCATGCAAAGAACACCAATAGCAAAAAGAAACATATTGTACGAATTGATAATAAAAGAAAATAATTTTTGCCAAATAAATATTTTTTAAATCGAGTTTTTTAGTGAGTGAATAAAAAAAAGTACCGAAGGCACTACACACATGTGAGTAAAACGAATATTATTTTCGTTGACGTCTTTCGTCTAGATAAAGATAGAGAAGAAGGCACAACATACATAAATATACAACTGTATAGAATACGTCGCGTCGTGAAAAACATATTCAGTCTCTCCAAAAGGAAGGCATTTTATAATTGAAGAAAGAGGAAGGGTTTAATCGAAGTTAAGAGAGGATAGTTGCTCTCATCACAGTAGCAGTATGCAGTGCATTATTCGTTAATGCTCTTCCTGCATTGTTGGTAAGATGAAATTATTATGCCTCAAAATATTACCATTCTTCAAATATAAAACCGCATATTATCTAATTTTATTTCCATTCTATTCTTTGTAAACGCTTCGTTATTAATTTTCAATCTATCCCTAAATTCTAAAAACTGAATTTATTTTCAGCAATTAAAATTCCAGCATTATTTTTATATTTGCTTCATATAATAAATCTCTTAAAAATATTCGAATATAGTACAAAATTGTAATAGTGTAATAATTGTAATAATGTAATACAAGCAATTATCAAAATAATACAAATAGAAAATAATCACAAAATATAATTATATTTTAAAATCGTAACCGCAGCAAATAAATAAGATTATTTCAAGCGCAAAATGACGTGTTTACAATTTCCGGTATAAAAGACAATCATCTAAAGTGAACCACTCGCGAAGATTTCTTATAACAAAATTGTAGTCAAGTGTTTAAATTATTGTCATCTGAAAATAGTATATATTATAAACGAAAGTGTAATTTATTCATTAATAACAAAAAAGAAAGTATAGGTACTTTTTGTGGATAATTATAAATTAGGATTATCCGGTAATAATGTGTTATTCCAATAGCCAACATTAAAAAAAGGAATTTCAAATAATCGATAACTTTTTTATTAATTAAAGTACTGATGAATTTTATTATTTAATTTATTTCCTTTGAATATATTTTATACCTAAAAGCGAATTTAAGGGTATTTGCTCGAAGTACAAAAATTGTTGGTTTTATTAAAACTTATGGCTTTTTATTTAAATAAAAATTATGGAAGCCCAAAATTATTTGCTTTAAATAAATGTAATATTGTATAATACCAGTATAGAGTAATCGATTAATTTGATTAATTTTATTAATTTTTCAAAAGTAATTTTTCGAGATTTTTTAATAGTAAATAATTCATATACAATTTTTTTTATATTGTGTAACTTCCCTTTCTTATACATATTTACGTGTTATACTAATAATAATAAATTATATCCACCTACACTGAAAGAAGATGAACACCCTAAATTCAATTCGAAATGCATTTACAAAGAATCTCGTAGGTGGCACTACGTGTTTTGTTGTTATTATCCCTATTTGCACGCAACTCATCAAAAAAGTAATACAGTCGTATTGAAATAAATTAATATGTATAATATGATAGTAAATTGTGATTTTTAATATTTAGAAAAAGTTAAAAAGAAAATTACAAGCACTCATCTACTAAAACCTACTATTTACTGTACTTTTTTACGTTATGCTACTATTTGGGTACTTTTTTAGATTTCAGCCACTAAAAGCTACTAATTCTGTTTTTTTGAGAATTTACATTTCTTTAAATTCGCTAATACTGGAAATCAAAAAACTATTCTCAAAAATTACAATCAAATTCTTTAAAACGATTCAATTATTTTCAAAAAATATTCCAAATTCAATTATTTTCAATAATCTAGTATTTTCATAAAATTTAGTAAAAGAATTCAATTATTTAAAAAAAATTGATAAAATTCATCTAAAATTCAATTATTTTCAGAAATAATAAAATAGAATAAATAATAAAATAATAATAATAATAATAATAATAATAATAAAATTTCTACAGATAATCAATTAATTTAGAATAGCATTTACAAACAAATTTGGAAAAAGTCATTTAACTAACTAAATTTATATACAATTCTTCACAATAATAATTCAATTACTTCCACTAATAATAACATTTTTCATAAAATGTTTAATTCAATTTTTTTTTTAAATTTTTGATAAAATTCTAAGAAAGAATTCAATTATTTTCATAAATAATAAAACTTATCGAAGAATTTCAATTATTTTTAATACTATTTTAAATTAATTAATCGATAAATTCAATTATTTTCACTAATAAGGTTTTCCACAAGAATTCAATTATTTAAAATAAAATTTTCATAATATTTATTATATTTCGAAAAAATTAATTATTTAAAATAATGTTTATAAAACTTTTATGAAGAATTCAATTATTTTCGGAAATAACAACATTTTTTACAGAAATTCAATTCTTTTAAATATTTTAATAAAATTCTTCACAATAATTCAATTATTTTCATAAATAATAAAATTCTTCTCAGGAATTCAATTATTTTTGAAAATTTTAATAAAGTTTATAGCAACTATTCAATTATTTTCATAAATAATAAAATTCATCGAAGAATTTCAATTTTTTTAATACAATTTTACAGAATTTGCTTGAGAAATGTAATTATTCTTAAAAATTTAATTTTTATTTCTCAAAAAAAATCAATTATTAAAAAATTTTTTTTTTAATTCATTGGAAGAAATTGTTTAAAATTAAGTCAATTATTGTAAATACAATTTTAATTAGATTTTTTTGATTTTATTTTTGTTTGATTTTAAATGAAATTCTTCCCAAGAATTCAATTATTTACATAAATGATTCTTCGAAAAAATTCAATTATGTCGATAAATAACAAAATTAATTTGGAAAATTCAATTATTATGAGTCATTTTAATAAAATTCGTTGCAAAATTCAATTATTTTCATAAATTATTCACCACAAGAATGTAATTATTTTGAAATGTAATGAATTTTTTCTTGAAAATTCAAGTATTTTAAAAAATTCTAAAATAAAATCCTTTGCAAGAATTCAATTATTTTGATAAATACTAAAATGCTTTATCTGTAAAATTTAATAACTTTTAAAAACTTTTCGAAATTATTTGGTTTTCAATATCTAGTATTTTCATAAAATTCCCAAGCAGAATTCAATTAGTAAATTTGAAAAAATGTTTGTAAAAATTTCCCTAAGAATCTATTTCTTTTCATGAATAATAAAAAATTTCCAGGAATTCAATTAATTAAATTAGAAATTGCATAAAATAAGTCGAAAGAAATCAATTAATTAAATATTTTAATAAAATTCTTAGCAACTGTTTAATTATTTTCATAAATCACAAAATTTATCGCAGAATTTCAATTATTTTTAACATTACAATTTTAAGTAAATTCTTCGAAAAATGTAATTATTGTAAAACATTTTATTTCAATTCCTCAAAAAGTTTAATTATTTAAAAAAAATGTTTCTTTTAATTTATTTGGAAAAATTTAATTAGTTACAAAAATATTACATTTTTTCACAGAGATTCATTTATTTTCAAATATTCTAATAAAATTGTTCGAACGAAATTAATTATTTAAAATACAATTTTAATTATTTTTTTTTTTTGAATAATTCAATATTATTCTTTTAGATTTTAGCAAAACTCTTCCCAAGAATTCAATTTTTTACATAAATAAATAATTCTTCAAAAGAATACAATTATGTCGATAAATAACAAAATTATTTCTAAAAATTCAATTATTTTGAGGCATTTTAATAAAAGTCTTTGCAAAATTCAATTATTTCCATAAATATTAATATTCATCATAAGAATTCAATTATTTTTAAAAGTAATAAAGTTCTTCTTGGAAATTCAATTATTTAAAAAAATTCTAATAAAATTATTCCCAAGAATTCAATTATTTTGATAAATACTAAAATGCTTTTCAGCAATTCAATTATTTTCAATAAAATTTAATAAAATACCAACAGACATCCAATTATTATGTCAAAGATTTTAATTGAATTCTTTCTAAAATTTAATTATTTTTAAGAACTTTTCACAATTCAATGATTTTTAATATCTAGTGTTTTCATAAAATTTCCAAGCAGAATTCAATTATTTAAAAAATTGTTGTAAAAATCTCCGTAAGAATTCAATTATTTTCATGAATAATAAAAATTTCTTAAGAATTGAATTATATTTAAATTAGAATTTGCATAAAATTAGTCGAAAGCAATCAGTTATTTAAAAATTTTCATAAAATTCTTCGCAAGAATTAAATTATTTTTATAAATATTGAAATTCTTTCATGAATAATAAAATTTGTTGCAGAAATTAAATTTATTAGCAAGATAAGAAAGAAAGAAATTTTTTTGATGGAAATTAGGAAAATGAAAAATATGAAATGTAATTCTTGTCAGTTTTGTGAAGTGTGTCTAAAACGGGTTTTTTTTGTCGTCAAGTTTAATTTTTCGATAGCTACTTTTTTACTATTTTTTTTTTTTAGTTTGAAAGCTACTTTTTGCTACTTTTTTAAAATTAATTATCGAGTAGGAAGTCTGGATGCTGAAATTGAATTTTAAATTGTAATTTGAATATTTGGATATGAATGAGAAGTAATATAGTAAGAACGCAATTTAAGAATATTGAGTATAGTCAATCCACGGTATAAAGGCTTGAATTGAAAAGAATTCAAATTTTCATTTTATTTGATCGAAAATTTAAATTTTATATAATTTTGACAAGAAATTCTCTTTTATTTATTGAAATACTTTTTTGCTCCACAGTCCATTAGGAACCTTAAACGGATAATTAAATATTGTGCAATCAATATGCAAATATTGATTGTGCAATCCATATACTTTATATTTGTACAAAAATACAAAAATCAAGTCCGCTCGTAGGACTTGATTAATTAATTCAATTAATTAGCGCAACTTGAAATCATATTCATATCAGTTTACGTTATTACTCTATAACTTTTATTTATTTATTTATTTATTTATTTATTATTTATTTATTTATTTTTTGAAAAACATCGGTTTTTTAATTTTTTGAAATAAATTTTTCTATATAGAACGTTTAGTTTATTTATTTATTATTTTTTTTTTTTTTGCAAAAACGGATGTTCTCCGGTTATGGTAATCAAACTAATTTATTTGTTATTTTAACAGAATTTACTTCATGTGTGTAATCCAGAATTAAAACTCGTATCATCATTAAAAAATTTATTTACAATTTTTTTAATACATATTTTGAAGTAGAATAATTGATGAAGTTGACAGTGTCACTAGCGAATTACACAAAATTAACAAGTTAAGATTTTCTAATTTTTGATTTAATTTGGAAATAAAGTTTGCATAAATATACGAACTTTCGTTTTAACCAACCGTACATTTTTGCCGTGTAGGGCATAATCAATACTCAATGAGAAATTAACCATTGGTTTATTAATGAGCTAATTTTAGGAGCCAATAATTTCACTATTGGTCAAATATTGTCAATCATATTATTGGACCACAATTGCAATTATTCTATTATTGAAAATAATTTTAATATGATATTAGAAATTGATTTCACTGTCAAGAGTATAGACCATACCTTTTATTGTATCCATGAGTATAGACCACATATAAATATTATTATATTTATTTAACAATTAAATTTGACAAATATTTTTTTTATTACAACTATTCAAAAATTTTATAACATTTGTCAAAGTAAATTTAAAAAATATTTTCTAACTTAGTATTTGGATGAATTTTTTAATAAAAGTCTTTTTAAAAATTCCTCTTAGAAAAAGTTCGAAACATCTCATGCACAGTTTGTAAAAACTTTTATGAGTGATCCTATAGTAAGTTTATATTTTCTATCTTGTTTTTATTAGACTTTTTTAAAGTATTTTTTATACTTACGGGAATAAGTGACATTTACTTGACGCAAAAATATATTTAATGATATATGTAGGTACATAATGCAGAAACTAATACTTTACTTTGTTGCTTTTTATTTTATTTCCCTAAGGTTTTCTAACGTTCAATTTCAAACTATGTATAATGTTTTTAATAAAAGTTTATAGAAAGTCTTATTTTTTATTGACCTTTATAATGTTCTAATGTTTGAAGTAAATTTTCAAATGTTACTATTGTTTATCTATTAAAACTTTTACACTTTTGAAACATCCTTTAAAAGAAACCTTTCCAGTGTAACTTTTACTAGGAGTATGAAAAATAACGTATATTTCATTTTTATAAAAATTTTATAAAGTTTTTTTATTGGATCTAACCATTTTTCAGATAATTATAATTAGTTTCTCGGTATTGCTTTGAATGCTACCTAATTAGTTGCAAGCATGTTGTAATTAGCTTTGAACAACTTCTGAAATTATATATGAGCTTTGACTTTTTATTAATTATGTATGGTTTACAAATATGTTCATATATGTTTCTTATTTTTCAAATTTTACTTTGATTTTTGAAATATTTCTTGTGTCAGAAAGAAAGGGTTCTTATATAGTAAGCAAGAAAAATATTCACACTAATGAGAGCACAAAGTTGATTAGATTAACTTTGCTACTGCATTGTTTCCTCAATGTGGACACATTTGCGTGGAGATGAGGATTTTCCCTCATGCATGAGTATATAGTATACTCGTAATTATATATACGCGTTAATATCAGGGATGTTTCTAAAAGTTCTAAATTAATTTCTTTTGAATGAAGTTTTATGAGGTGAAGAGTTTAAATATTTTCATGTAATTCCATTTTTAATTGAATATTTTTAAATATTATTTGTCTTTTAATAAAAAATATATACTCTATGCTACCTCAGCACCCTTGCAATCAGGTGGAAAATGTAATTCTTACAAGATCACTAAAATTAGTAAATGCACTCAAGTCGTAGCCATGCATTTCCATATCTAACAGATAATGTCATAATGAGATCATCTCATGATTTTTTCTAAACGCTGGACGACTTTCTCACAATAAGACTGTAAGAGGGATGGAAGTTGTCTATTGCAACAGGATTGTAAGATGGCAATTTCCCTGACTCGCGACTGTTTTCGAATGATAATACAAAAATGTCGACCAGTGATTGCATTGCCTCCACAATAGAGCCTTTCCCATTAGAGAGAATCAAATATGCATATTGCAATTTAACATTCACTTTTACCCTAAAAGAACCCTGTGATAAAAGATCCTGTCAATTCTCTTTGAAAGCTAGCTGGTTTTTATTCTATTTAATCCTGAAGGCACCTAGTGGACGAATAGAATGACTCCCACAATCTTAGATTCCTGAGATGCACCCCAACAAATCTACGACTGATCGCAAATGGTAGCATGTTCACCATTCTAGGTATTACAAGCCCCCAATTGCCTAGAATGACACATAGAATCTTGTATCTAGGAGAAGCTTCTCGATAGTTAGAAGACTCCCTGTAAGGGTAAGGTTTCGGTTCTGTGGGCCGTGAAGCTCCTTAAAACAGGAATACTGACATCATCATCAGGAAGATGAATGAGATGCTTCTCATCTTGATCCTCTTGGAGGGGCAGAAGGTTTGCTTCGCTTACCTTTGAGACAGTAGTAGAACCCCCAAGACACAGTTCTTGTTCTTCTCGACTTTCATATATTCAGAACCTCTGGAAATTACGAAAGTCTATGGAACCTTAGACAAACGTAGGCTCGAGATGCTCATCCTATCCCGGCTGCAGGCAAACATTCGAAATCTGCGAACACACATCGGTATTCTGTGTAACGTGATTTTTGAACAATCACGTTATGAAAATCCAAATTATAATTGCGCCGAATCTTATCTAATTAATTTCCAAATTATTATGATAAATTTAATGCGCTAGCCAGACTCGAACTCAATATTTTATTTCACTGATTATATCCTTGAATTATATAGAATCGATTTAATACAAAATGTTAAGTTGTACAAAATTATATGGTTATTTTCAAGAGAATTCCACACGATTTAGATGAATATAAATCATAAATGTATTTAATTGTCAACTGACCGAAAATGTTCAACAGCAATTGAGATTGCTTGTCACGTGCGAACATTGTCACAACTGTCAACTAATAACCACCTGTCAAAGATGTTGGGCACGTGAACCCTCTGCAGGGGCGAACCCAAGGGCTGTTTTTGGCACTCACCCAGGGCTAACCCAGAGTTAAATATTATCCAATCATCAAAAACATTCTGTTGGTTTAACCAATCACCATTAATCCGGAGTTAACTCGGGGCGAGTGCCGAAAACAGCCAAGGTGCGCATGACCTATATCCGGGACCGAAGCAGGATACCAATTAACGTAATTTCAACAGTCCGTGCCTGGCTGCCGAGTGTATCAAACGGTAACACGGCGGTAAATTGTTCTACACCGAAATTTAATTGAAAAATGGATTACCAAGCTTTACTGGAGAAAAGTAAGAATTATGTAACAATGATCTAATCAGTGATATAGTTCAGTAGGGAAACTATTGCTTACTAACAACGAGGTTAAGCAAACTTGAGTACAGTTAGTACTTGCGATGGTTGACACCACTTCTGCTGTGATATTACTTGCTATACATATTGTTGCCGCCGAGAACAGGGGAAATTAAAATTCAAGTAAGAAGGATAAGGGAGGGAGAGCGACGGAGCAAGGAAAAGGAATCAAGTGCTCAAGGCACTGACGATTAAGACCTGACGAGAAGAAGACATTGACCTGATCCGAACAAAAAAGGCTGAATTGAAGAGTCAAAGGGCTGACAAAAATTGTATTTGGCACGCCTGACCGCGGATAGGTGTGCATTTTATGAAGATCACCTGACTATGAAGAGGTGCATTGAAGCCGCCTGAGTAATTAGACGCCACCTTGTTTAATTAAACTATTGAATTATGTTAGGAGTTTAATTTTAGTTGCCTTGACTTTGACTCCTGGAAAAATAGAGAAAAGTCGATAAAAAAAGTTGTCTTGATGAGTAAGTCTAAACCAGTATTCTGCCGTGAATTGACTGAAGAATAAACTAATATTGTTCCAGTGACTCCAGGTTCAGGACACGTAAGTCGATAACAATATTAAAGGGAAATCTCTCTGCTTCAATTTAATTCACATGCCGTTTGCCTAAGTTATTATAAACTTCTACTCACTATCACAATTAAGTAATATTGTTAATTTGAACCTGATTGTTAACTGAATGTCAATCATTCGACGTCTCAGGTGTTTGATAGTAATTTAATTGTTATAATATCTAAAATGTTTAATATAATTGTTAGACAAAACGTCCAATAATTTTGGAGGCATTATTTCCTCCTCCCCTGAAAATTTGTATGATTGTTCAACAATACTTTATAATATAAACAATAGCTGGTTACCAGAAAACAGGTCTACAATGTGTTTAATGTTAAAAAAACGCTCATATTTCTTTATAGCACCCAGTTCCTCAATAAAATTAAAGCGAAATAATCGCACTTCCATCTTACGACAGGTAGTAATAATTGCTAAACTGTGTACATTTTTATAATGATTTCCTGTTGTTTAAAACTTTATATTAAAAATAAAGATGAAAGTTAATTGCGATTTTTTAATTCATATTATTTTATTTCATTGACTAAATACTTTGTAGAAGTTTATATCAGTTTTTGGCCTCTCAGCGGAAACAAAACTGACCTTTTTATTACGTTCTAGAACCCGATACAAAATTCTTATACATTTTCGTTCCACTTAAATGATTTTAATATCAATTAACTAAAACCATTGACTCAAATAATTGTAAATTGAATAATATTATATAAGAAACTAATTATCTAAATTTTATTTGTTTCAGGTAGTTGCGGACGTTGTTAAAATTAATCGGATACAAACAGTAGAAATTTATTTCTGTATTAGTTAATTGAGCTGGAAGATAAGATAATTAGAAAATAATGCTGATTAATTGTAGCGCTGATAAATTATTATTAATATTAGAACAAGGCATACCTGGATAATTATAAGTGAAATTGGAAACTTGTTACTATGCTTTAGATAACAAAAGTAATTAAAGTGATGATTAAAGTGAAATCAAAAACAATTATAATTTTCAGTTCAAGATTTCGTGAATTACATAAAAGAAAGGAGAGCACTTTGTTATTTATTGTCGTTTTGTCATTCCATTGTATTGTTAGTGCTGTTTGTGAAAAACAAGAAACAAATTTCAGAGTACCTCGAGGAATTAAAGAGTTACAAAGATTTGTTTTCAATTCTGTTCAGCCGTCTCCATTTACAGGGTATTGTGATTTTGAAGAGTTTTGTGATTGGTCCTGGAATGAAACTGCTGGTTTTAGAATTACTTCAGCTCCAGCGGATGAATCCTTGGGTCCTAAGACGGATGCAAGCAATAATAAAAATGGTACATCTGCTTAACAACTTTTCAAAAATATTTATTTGGATTAGTAGTATTCTTATTTGGAAAGATATTCTTTTGTTGCTTAAAATATTCTTTCAATTATTAATTCATCTTTTTATAAATCGTTAGGATTGAAATAATTTATTAGTTTTTCTTATTGCTTCCTAGGATATTTTTTATGGCTAAACGAACGAAAGGAAGGGCAACTATGGACTGTAAGACCCATTCCGAAGACAGGTTCAAGATGTCTTTTGGATTTATCCAGTCATCAAGTTCAAATGAGAAGTGGAATTATACGTTTAGTAATAGTAACAAATAATTATACTAGTCTAGTTGCTGCAGAACGATCAGGGAATGATCATGCAGCGTAAGTATCTAATTTCATTGTTAATTAAACTAATTTAATTAATCTACTCAAAACAAATATTTTGTAGTAAATTTATGGTTATTGCTACTATTGAAAATGAGATGGTAACAATAATAGACCATAAAAATGTTGCTATTAAATTTTTTAGTATTATTATTTAATTACAGATGGGAACCTATAAGGTTCAATTTGGGTGCAATAAGTCAACCTTACAAATTGATACTGGAAGTTACTATGCCAACTAATAACTCAAGTTTTGCTGTTGACAACATTCGTCTAGTAGATTGTTTTCCAGGTACAAACTTTGCTGTAAAATTTTAACAAATATAACTTTTAAATAGTTTTCGATTGAGTGATTCTCTGCAAAGATTTTACTATTAAAATTACATAGTTTCATATTTTTGCAACTTGTTAAGATTTAAAAAATGTTTGATAATAATTATTTTAAACAGAATACAATGCAGTTGGTTCAGTCTGCACTGCGGATATGTTTCGATGTAACAATGGATCCTGCTTAAATAGAACTAGAGTTTGTGATTTAACTGAAGATTGTGCGGATGGGGAAGATGAGCTGCAAGATTGTGGTAATTATTTAAAAATTAAATTGTAACACAATCTGTAAAATTTGTAATGTTCCTGAGTTTGACTTCTTATAATTTTAATGTATTTCTTGGTTTTTTAGACAAAGTACCTGCAACGGCAAGGTGTAATTTTGAGAATGGATGGTGTGGATGGAATAATGTTCCTGGTAGGCCCTTAAATTGGACTCTTCATCAAGGTCCTACTCCAACTGAAAGAACCGGTCCAAGTTACGATCACACATATCGAAATGATACAGGTACTTTTACATTGTGTAGAATATGTTGGTTTTTTAATTATCAGCAGAATATATAGTAATAGGAATATTATGTTTACATTTCATAGGAACATTTGCATATGTTAATATGTCAAAAAGAGCGGATTATGGTAGCCGGGGTACAATAAGTAGTCCATTATTTAATCCAACTCCTCCGTACAGCAGTGATCCAACAAGTCCATATTTTCAATCATGCCAAGTAAGCATTTTCAAAACTTTCTGCAGATTAAGAATATAATTAAAATTTTTAAGCTTCTGACTGTAGTGAAAACTTTTTTAAAGGTACGATTTTTTTATCATCAATATGGAGCTCATAGTGGTTCTCTTGGATTATATCTAGTGCAAGTAAAAAAACATCAAAATCAAACAGACCGTTTGTGGTGGACATTTGGTGATCAAAAAGATGCATGGTATAATCAAGCAGTAGCCTTACCTGATATTCGAGTGAGGTAAAAATCTAGTTTTCTGAAAGGTTCTTTTCAATAAATATTTGTTACTTTAAAGTACATATTTTTGAAATTTCAATTTTTTAAAGGTACTTTTTGCTATTCGAAGCAAGTAGAGCATATGCTTCAAAAGGAGACGTAGCCATTGACGACTTTTCCCTGAGCCCTGAGTGCTTTGGAATAGGTATAAATAATTTAAATTTTTTTTTATTTCAGTTTTTGTTTGTTAACTTTTGAGGTTGTTTAAACAGATATTTATCTTTGTTACAGGAGTTCCACCAGAAGCATTAAAGGGCTATAATTATTATGATCCAGTTATAGAATCTTCTATAAATCCAAAAAGTCAAAGTATTGATTTCATTAATGAAACAGGTAATGTATATATATTAAATTTATTAACAATGTAAGTCTGTTATAAAGTATAATTTTAAAAAACTGTCTTTCGTGAGGACATGAACTAAGGAAATAAAATTATCAGGAATTAGAAAAGAATCCTGTTAGTAGATTACTTTATTTTGAGTCAAAAATTACGTCGCGACTCCTTGAACCTCTGCTAGTGAGTGAGTGACGATTCATCTCCTAATCACCATAGGCTTCCTCATGTCATTTTGTTTTCCTATTTCTCCTATGAAAAATTGGGAAGAACCCTTCTTCCTCATCCCGACTTTTTTACTAATAACATGATATGACAGTCACAAAATAAATTAGAACATGACAAGTTAAAGTTGAAAATACTTTTTAGTTGTTCGAGTTACAACTTGCGGACAACTTGGAAGAATGGGTCCAACGGCAGCTCAATGTGCTAACGAATATAATGGAACTAATATTGAATTTGTTACACAGTCCTCATTTCCTTCGACTTCAAGTGAAGAAGCTTCTAATTTCAACCTGAACGGAATTCAACGATGGACTGCGCCTAGAGGCGGTTACTATACGTTAGTTTTTCAATTCTACTTTAACTTTAAAATTTATAGATTCATGAAAATAATAATTAACTTTCGTTTCAGTGTGATTGCTATGGGAGCGCGTGGAGGACGAGGATCTGGTGGTATGGGAAGTACTCTAGGTACCCTTGTACGGGGAGTTATTGAGTTAGAAAAAGAACAAAAATTGTACTTCTTAGTTGGTCAACCAGGTTCAGATGCATGTCCCAAAGTATGTATAAATTAAACTTTGTAAATGTTTTATATATGTGACTTTATGTTTCTTCCTTCTATTTCCAGAGTCTAGGTCTTGAAAAACATGATTGTCAACAGTTAGGTCAAATTACTTCTTCTATATACACGTCAAAAATACATGCTGTAAAGAAGATTGAACTAAAAGATGGTGGAGGTGGTGGAGGAGGAGCTACATATGTTTTCAAAGTAACGAAAATTTAATTTCACGAATAGTAGATAACAATTCTAAGTACAAGACAAATTCAACTTTCAAGAAGCATCCTTTGCTTTAAGTTCAAAACTTAAATAAAAACTAATATTTTTTGCTATTAATGCTCAGGGGTTAAATATCCCGATGAGACACAGCTGTTAACAGTTTAGGAATTGGAAAAATTTCTTTATTGGAAAATATTAATTTAATTTCTTTTAAATTAGATAAAAGGAAATGGAGAATTTCAACCATTAATGATAGCAGCTGGTGGTGGTGGATTAGGATTGGGTCAATTTACTGATGATGGAGTTCAACATGGGAAGGGATTGCCCTTACCAGGAAGTAATCCGACAACTGGAGTATCATTTCGAGGAGATGCTGGTAAGACTTGAGTACAGATACCTACATTAAAAATATATCTATAATTAGTCTTACCTATAATACCTATAATATTGTTCTAGCCCATCTAATTGTAAGAACCATTTCTTAGCTTTTAATTTAAAAAATATTTTAGGTCCTGGAGGCGGATGGTTTGGTACATCGAATAGCAATTCAAGTCAATCATCAGGATTGCCTCTGGCTTTAGGCGGTATTGGTGGAATAGGATGTGGTCCCAACAATAATGGTCATGGAAATGGTGGATTCGGAGGAGGTGGAGGAGGCTGTTTAACAGGAGGCGGTGGTGGTGGATATGTAGGAAAGTGATTTTTATTCTTTAATTGATTTTTTATATTCAAATCACTATTTACTTTTTTAATAAGGCGGTATAATATTAAAATGCATTTCATGTGTTTGAAAGTTTGAAAAATAATTTTCGAAAAATTGCAAAATATAGGTGGAAACACAGGGGGTCAGGATTCTCCAAACGGTCAAGGTGGTTTTTCATTTGCTACTTCAGAATTTCTTCATGCTGCTTATCATGTAGGATATAATCAAGGACCAGGAGAAGTTTTAATCATACCAGCAATAAGTGGATGTGGTTGCGATTTTCGATGTGTGGTTTTAGATCAATTTTTGTCTGAGGTGAAATGCCTATGTCCTCCAGGTTGGCTTCTTGGAAATGATACAAAATCCTGCTTAAGTAAGTTTAAAAAAAAAAAATTTTGTTTTAATTGTTTGATTTTGTGAACATTTACAAAAAATTATTTCATCCTGAGCGGATTTTTAAAATTGCTTTTATCTTTTCAGTGGCAGAACAGAGTGACGTTGCCCATCAGACTTTTATGATAATATTAATAGCTTTCAGCATTGGATTAATATTTGCACTATCTGGACTATTTCTTTTATTATGTAAGTTGTAAAAAAGTAATATTACATTGTATAATTAATTTAGTTTAATTTATTATAATATTAAGTTATGTAATTAAAATATTAATTTAAATTATATTTGAAGGAGGCATGATTTTGTATTCACTGTTAATTTGTTTTCTTAAAGAAATGAATAATATTCTGTAAATCTAGCGTTATATATCATAAATTAATAGTATATTGTGCTATTTATAGATAATCGATACCAACACCGGAAAGCTTTAATCAGACGTCGTCAAGTAATGTTTGGTAATGGAACAGAATTAACTGCCCTTCGTGCAGTTTCCGACAGCATGATGACTGAATTCAATCCAAATTATGAGTTTGCTGGAAATTTATATAGTTTTAAAGATCTTCCACAAATACCAAGAGATAATATATCATTAGTAAAGTAAGTCAAAATCGTAGTAAAATATTAATTTCTTTCATTACTAACTGAAAAATTAGATAATTAGTTATAATTTTAATTGTTATTATCACTTAGGCCTTTAGGACAAGGAGCATTTGGTGAAGTATTTCAAGGTGTTTACAAGTACCGTCGGAATGATGAACATCCTGTTGCTGTAAAAACACTTCCTTCATTGTCAACATCTCATGCGGAGGCAGATTTTATGATGGAAGCATTAATTATGAGCAAATTTAATCATCCGAACATTGTGCATTTCATTGGAGTTTCATTTGATAAACATCCTAGATATATAATTTTAGAATTACTAGCTGGTGGTGATTTGAAAAATTTTCTACGGGAAGAAAGGCCTCGCCCTGTAAATAATTTTCTTTTTATGTTTACTGAAAGAGCATTTAGCTAAGAATACTTTCTTTATAACGTAAAATTTATTTTATAAACCGCAGGATCGACCAACAACATTATCAATGCAGGATTTAATAATGTGCGCCTACGATGTCGCAAATGGCTGTAAATATATGGAAGATGCTCGATTTATTCATCGAGATATAGCGGCAAGAAATTGTCTTTTGACTTGCAAGGGGCCTGGTCGAATAGTTAAAATTGCCGATTTTGGTATGGCTCGAGATATTTATAGGAGTGATTATTATAGAAAAGGTGGTAAAGCAATGTTACCTATTAAGTGGATGCCCCCTGAAAGCTTTTTGGATGGAATATTTACTACGAAGACTGATGTTTGGTATGATTTTGATTTAGACTTTAATTATGTACCTTTGGACGATCAACAAATTTATTGGAATTGTTTATTAAAGTTTAGAACTAATGAAAAATATTCTCTGTCCTCTGTAGGGCTTTTGGTGTGCTTCTGTGGGAAATTATGTCCTTTGGTTACATGCCTTATACAGGTTGTGCTAATCGAGAGGTAATGTCAATGGTTACAACGGGTGGAAGATTGGAAAGGCCTGCTGGTTGTCCTGATCCAATTTATGGTGTAATGACTCGATGCTGGCATCCTCACCCTGAAGACAGGCCTAGTTTTACTACAATTGTTGAAAGAATAGGATATTGCTTACAGGTAATTTAAAATTTGTTAAATTATTTTGCGATATAAGAAAAATACTTTCATGCTTTGTCCATTCTTCAGAGTAGGCTTCTGTTTCTTACCATAGCATATTCAGGACCTGCCAGTGAAGGGGTTAAAGACATTTGAAAACTGATATTTTATTTTATGTATATCATTTACAGGATCCCGATGTATTAAACTTTCCAATGCCAAACTATGATGTTTTACCTTCTTGTGAGAGAGAAATAACAATTATGAGACCAGATCCTGAAACTGAATGCATTAATGTGCACGCTGACGTAAGTATGTTGATATAATTTATAGCTTTTACTTTTGTAAGCTTAATTACAAACCACAACTTGCCCTTTCGTATAGAGTACTCTTAATAACTAAAAGTTGCATACTGCAACATTAAATTATGTTAACAAAAGCTAGTATGGCTATATTACAAAATTGTGTCTAACCAATATCGCCACAGAAGATACGTAAATCTTGTTAAGTTCGTATCAAAAAATTAATTTCATCAGATATAATATTAGCCTCCCTACAATGTCTATCAGTTGAGGAATGGTTGCCATAATTCGTTCTGTGAAATTTTACAGAAAACAATGTATAATTTCTTGTGGTTCTTTTTGGAATAGAGAAATTTATCATTGATAATAACGTTGGACAATCATAACCATTTAAAATCTTATACAAAAAAAGCATGTCTATATAGAGGAATCTGGATGTAATCAATGGAATATTTAATGAGGTTCTCAGATTATTATAGTCATGCGTTTGTGTATCATTATGAAAAACTGAAGCACATCTTATGACACAAATCCCAAAGATCTTAGAGCTTTAGATACTGTCTCAGAAATGTGATCATTGAATCAAAGATCATCTCTCAGAAGCAACCCAAGAATATGATACATAATTTGGAGTGATCGTTCATTACTAATACGACCGAGTGATAGAATGAATCTTATAATTTAAATAATAAATTCCATAATGTTTTGTTTATTTTGTGTAGGGTTGCCAGATTCTTTTTTTGCTAATCCTCCTGTCCTCTACATATAAGTTCACCCTTACATTCTAGAAAAAATAATTTTGTAAAATGCAAAGACAATGTTTTCATCCCCTTACTTGAATGAAGAAATGTTATCAAATCAAGAGAGCGGAAATAATTCATAAAACTCTTAATATCTTTCAAAAATCGAAACATCTAGTAATCCTTAATTTTTAATCTAACGCATTTATAAACTTGATACCTATTGTTTTATATTGATGTTTACGGACATGTAATACTTGCAAACTTTTACTGTACGAAAAATTTAAGCAAATTTCTACTGTTTTTATTTCACAGTGCAAAAGTTTCAAACCATGTTTTAGAGATGAAATTTCCGGGGTGAAGTTATCTTCTAAAGTTGTTTAATTGATACAGTACTCTATGTTAAGGCACTTTTCTTCTAACAGAGTTTTGGTATGTATTGCTTTTTATTACTATCCCATTACCATAAATCATTAGAATTGTGTGGTCAAGGTTCCATTAAATTCTGATTACATTCACTAAAGGATTGTTTGTCTTCTTTTTAGCAACTACTCTCAAATATACATAATTAGTTAAATTGTGGAGATAAATTTATTCGTGTAGGATAATTGTGTTTATAATCTTCGTATTGTACTGATATCATATGCCTAGTCTGCAACAATTAACAGAGATTTAATTTTTCATGATTTTCCTTCATATAATAATCTTAGTAATGAATACTGTACTTCATAAAAGTATATCAATAACATGTTACACCATAATCTATAAATTTTTTGATTCTAAGTTTTTACTTCACGGTTACATAATTAGATATCTTGATTCCGAAAATTCGTGTAAAACAGGGAATCAGAAAGCATTCAAAATTGTCCAACATTGAAGTTTGAAATTGACGAACAGTAGACTTATTATGGTTTTTAGGGTTAATTAGTGTATACAAATCTAGAAACTATTGGCTTTATTCTTCCATTGAATTTTGAAACTATTATCCTTTAAAATCTATACTTTTACACATTCCATGAGTTAGATTAGTTATATTAGAAATTTAAAAAAAAAACTCGTAAAGAATTATGAGAAACTTCTTTTGGATAGTTCTCTAAAAAAGCAGATTGCGACTTTTAAATTTTTTACAGATGAAATGCTTAAAGGCTTAACCATAATTATTTAACCCTCTGCCTACGCTGACTTATCCCTTCTCTAGCGCTTTTTAGGTGAGGTCTATTCCCATAGACCCCACCAGGATACCGAATTGTCGTTTTTTGTCGATAACGGTCACTTGAGTAGGCAAAGGGTTAATAATACCCCTACTGAAGATCATGTCATGCAGTGGTGACATATTACTATTGTGATACAAATATAAACTTATTTTTCCTTTCGCGTAACAACAAACACCCATTGTTAAAAATCTTTTAAATTTTAATTATTCCCATTTCTGAATAACATTTAATTTTATTTATCTTTGATATTAGAATGAATTTGAAAAAGATGACAAAGGAATAGAAAAGGAAACTGATAATATGATCAACTGTACCAAAAATATATCAAGATTAGATGATATAAATTGTAATAGTAATTCCTATGAAAAAACAAGGTTAGAGACGGATGATTCGAATACGCCTGCAAGTACAAATTTAGAAACAGCAGTGTCGTCACCAAATACTCAGACTGGTTCTCCAAGTCCAACTTTAAATTCAAATGGAAACAATATGAATGGTCTGTTGAGAAAAAATGCCTTAAAGGCAGCATTGAGTTTGGATCCTAGCGCTCTGTGCCGAGGAAATATACCATATGAAAAAATTTCATTTTCCTCACCATCAACTCAGACCAGTAATCCTGACAGCTTGGAATTAATGAAGGTAACTTGTAATCTATTTTTGGAAAAGCTTTTTCCGACTATTTTAATCAGAATTCATTAATATAATAGAATGGGGTGCAAAAGATCAGAACTATTGTTTTGAAATTTATAAAACACTATTTTCTTCTTAGGAATCCATAGGACATGAGTTGCCAAGAGAAGAAGAGTGTTCTTGCTGAGACTCATTTCAGAGTGACTAAAATAGTTCCTCCGACAATCAATACAAGGATTCCCAAAGATTATACATGACGTTAACTGTAAAGTATAGAAACCCTATGAAAATCAAGTCAGCCATGCCAAACCACAAAAGGAAACGCTCACTTAACAAGACAAATATATATACGTCGTCCATAAAATTGACATATGCGTGTTGAATTATTTAATAAGATCAGTGATTATTTTACGATTTATAACTTTGAAAGTAAGTTTGTAATAAGAAAAATGTCTTCTGAAAGTTGTAATGCATATAATTTAATTCAAAACAACGAATATTATTTATCTTTGAAAATATTGTCAATCAATTTTGTATTTACAACTTCATAAATAAATGTTTGGATTTTGGTTCTTGTTTTTAATATTCTGACAATGTTTTTAATATTTAGGTTTAAAAGTTATGATAACTGCGTAGTGATGAACTGGAAGTCTTCCTTTGACTTCAAGGCATCCGAGTGAAATAGTATTCCAAATTTCCAAATTTTCAAAATTTTTTGAGTTACCGCTTACTCAAAATTTTGGTTGGTTTTTCAAAAAAGGCACATAACTTTTTTCTTTGTTAACCGATTAAGATAATTTTTTTTGGAAAATACTCATAATAAGAAGCAATTTAAAGAAAAAAATAAAAAGAAAAAAAATTTTTTTTTTTTTGCCCGAAAAAATTTTAAAATCATCTACTGATGATAAGAAATAAAAAATTATTTATTATAAAACTGTTTAGCCAATGAATTATTGCCATTTTTTCATAAATTGCACTTAGGGCTAAAGTTTCTAGTTTTTTCAAAGTACAATTCATTAAAAAATAAAAAACTATAAATTAAATAATAAGTTTCTAGTTTTAAGTTCAGTAAATTGAAAACTTTACAAAAAATAAATTGTTTAAACAATGTTTAAATAATTAATTTTTAGTTTTTCTTTTATTCTTGAATGTTTTAGTTACAAAAAAATGCACAATTAAAAAAAACTGGAAGTTTCTAACCCTAAGTACAGTTTAGGAAAGAAATAACAATTAATTGTTTGAACAATTTAATAAATTGGTATACTTTTGTTATACATCAGAAACATTCAAACATTCTTTTAATAGGTTTTTTGATTAATTTTCTGAATGATTGAAGCTGAAAAAAATATATTTTACGATTTTATGATTTTTTTAAAACTTATTGTTATTAAAAAAATGTTTAAAAACAAAATTTCAAAACCGGGCTCAAGAGATCGATAGAAAACTTAATTACGAAGATTTAGAAAAAAAGAAAAATCGTTTTGGCAAAAAATTGTGACTTGTAGAGTGATTTGGAACGAAACTTGCGCCGCCATAAGCGAATACGCATGCACGAGTCCCGGTATGCCGCGCTGGACACTTTATTTTTTTTCTCGTAAAGTTACTGTTGTCCCATAATTAAATTTATAGGAAGTATTTTTGACTTTATAGACAATAACTACAAAAAAAAATTTTTCAAATCAAAGAGGTATTTTTTTCAAAATTTTTATTCAAAAAATTTTTTTTAAATTTTATTGGGCAAAAAAAATTTTATTTTTTTTTTAAAGTGCTTTTTATTATGAGTATTTTCCAAAAAAGATTATCTTAATCGGTTAACAAAGAAAAAAGTTATGTGCCTTTTTTAAAAAACCGACCAAAATTTTGAGTAAGCGGTAACTCAAAAAATTTTGAAAATTTTGAAAAAACTTTTATACATTTTTATTCCATGTATATGAGGGAACTAATTCGGTAAGTATTATTAATATTGCTAAAATCATCGAAAATTCTTCAGATCACTTCCCGTGGAATTGCTCACATACGGAATGATATTTTTTAAAAATGTCATTTTTGAACTCCTAAGGTCAAATAACATAAAGATATATCAAAAATTCGAAATATGATAAAAGTGATTAAATTTTTGATAAATCAATGTATTTTTAAATACCCTACAAGATAGTTAAAATAGTTTAATATAGTTAAAGAAAAGTTTTCAAACAAGAAGTTGAGAAAACTTCCACTATTTTTGGTTTTTGAAATTTATGATGAAATAAGGTTCAAAAATAGGTCAATCGAAGCGTTTTTTAATGCTCTACAAGTTGGAAACGATATTTTTAAAGTTACTTCTACATTTTTCAGCAAGATTTTCAAAAAAGTCTTATTTTCCAAAACTATTGATTTTTAAAAGTTTAATAACTCCGGTTAATATGGACGAAAAATAATGAATTAGGATTCAAAAGATGCGTATATAAAAACTACAAAATTATGGAGAAACATTCATAAGCATGCCAACATTTTTTTAAAGTTATGTGCAGAAATCGTTTTTTTTTTGAAAAATTAAAAATCCAAAAAAAATATAGTTATACTTTATTAATCTATCTCAAAGTACTCTCATTTTATGTCCGCACGTGAGACCTAAAATTTAAAAGAAAATTCATCCCTAGAGCTCTTCATGATCTCGAGATATTTATGGGAATGTAATGTTTACACACACGTATACTCTTAAGGTGTTTAGGGTTGAAATAAAAACACATAACATAGTAGATTTAAAGTGTTTATTCGGTAAAATTGTTAATATTTTCATTTAGGGGCCGTCCATAAATCACGTGATGCTATTTTTGACCATTTTTGACCCCCCCACCCCCCCATGTGATACACTATTGCATGTATTAGCGCCATTTTATCTGCAAGTCGTGATAAATTTGTTGACCCCCCACCCCCCCTAAAGTGTCACGTGATTTATGGACGGCCCCTTACCAAGAGTCCTAGAAATGTTATTAAAACTGAAGGATAGTCTATGTCATCACTGCCTAATGGTTATAGTATGCTATGATATATTGAGAGGTTCGTTAAATTTGTCGACTTCATATAAAAAACAAAATTTAATTTTTTAACTTGAACTTTTCAGTACATTAAAAGTTGTATAAGATGCTTTCATAACCTGATAAAAATGGAAGATTATTTTAATTTAAAATAAATATATTTGTTTTCAAAAACACACAATGCATTATTGGCTTATAATAATAATTATTATTATTATTATTATTATTATTATTATTATTATTATTATTATTATTATTATTTGATAGAAAAAATAAATTACTTTACAAAAGGTATCTATGGAAAAAACAACAATTTAAGCCCCAGTGAATTGCATAGGACGTTTTGCTCTCATCATTATTATTATTAGTTTTTTTTGGGTTGTGATTGATAATATGTTCCAGTCCATTTGGCAAATTTTATCAGTAATAGACATACTCTATAATACAAAATTTTCACTTTTAATATACATATAGTATTTCACTTTTTTGTTATAAACATAAATTTTATGGGGGTATTGAATTGTAATATGCTTTTCAATAGCTGCAGGAAAAAAAAAGTTCATGAAACTCTCGTGAACTAGTACATCACTTTTGGATGGGACGCAAAGTTCTAATATTTGATTAATCTAATAATTACTGCCACTTTAAGTAATACAATCCCATTGTTTATTTTTGGTTTTAATTTTATAGTATTTTGCCATATTGGGTATTAATTTTTTTAAGCAAAAATTATTTACCGTTTTTGTCAACTCCTCCCCAAAATAACAGTGAATAAAGATTTGTGAGATGAAGCAATATATTACCAAACACGAAATCCAAAAATGTTCTTCAGTTATCTTCATTTTTGTTAAATAAAATGCAGCAGTACATAAATTTAAAATGGAAACAAAAAATTGAAAAAAGACCAAAAAGCTAAATGTGTCATTCAATTTTTTTTCCATTCTGAAATAAGAACAATTAGAAACTGAATGCTAAATTACTAGTAATAGAGCAATACTATAAGAACCCAGTTCGACAGAATATTCAAGACATCGAAAGATCTCCGGGTTCTTATGGTTCTAAGCTTAGTTGCATGAAGTATAGTATAGTTTTTTGATCCTTACTTACGAAAAAATATGAACGTTTTGATTAACACACTCCCTTATGATTGTACATTCTTGTTCATAAGTGTTTAATTTTTCACAAATATCATTTCTTATATTCATAATTTGAAGTAAACGATATATAAGAACTTCAAGTTGCATGCAAATGTGCTGCGTGAAAGTGACTAATAACGTTTCGAATAAGGCGTATGCAACAACAACAAAAATAATTGAAATGTTCTCATATACATAAGTCATCCAATATCTTTTTCTCGAATTTAGGGAATAAAAAAGCCATCTCTCAAATGGTATTGTATTTTTTGAATTTGTCAGTGGCCACATTATACCAATTAAAGACACAAGTACAGAAGATGGTATAAAAACTCGTAAAATCGATCTGAAATACTATTTTTATAAGAGAATAAGAACAATCATGAAAATTTAAATATGATCTAATAAAAGAGGGACAACATCTAAAAATAAGCCCCATACTAAAAATTTAAAAATGCGAATCTAATGAATTTTAATCCAATGTTTGTTTTTAAAATTCTAGATGTCATTTTTAATATTGCATATATTTAAAAAAAAAATTCAATTTCGAAATCAGTGACCTCATTACCCCCCTAGTAACATTTTTTTAAAAGATCCAAGAACTTTTTAGACTTTTGTCCACGTTTTTGATGATTTTAGCAATTTTCATAATTATTTACCTTTGTTTAAGATTAAATCTTTCGTGAATAGCAGCTTCATCGTCATTATATGGAAGGCAGTTCTTTTGCCAAAACATGTTCAATAGCACGTTAATATCGTGTCGGTGAAAATTAATGTAAGCAAGTTTAAAAGATATGAGACATATAGTTGTAAATGAGAAAATATTTTCTGGATAAACTGCTGGCTTGTCTCTATGTAGGTACAAAAGAATAAGAAATGTAAGGCCAAAATAGCCTAAATTTACAATTACTACAGCACTGTAAATAGAATAAATTCCAATAGCCCATGGTGATGTTAAAACTTTTGGTCTCCAAATTCCAAAATAAGACATTAGTTGAAGCAAGGATTCAATTACATATGATATGTGATATGTTTGCATATCTTCAAAATTTCCCATTTTAAACTTTTTTCCACAAAAATCTTTTCCTCTTAATAACTCTTCTTCTTAATTTTGTATAAAAATTATAAATGTTTTTACAAAAACTTTAAAAGCTCTTGTGATTAAAGCAACAATTAAGAGGGATTATTTCAAGAGGGATTATAATTAAGAGATTATTTCAACTTAAATTATCAAAACAAAAATTAACGCTTTCGAATCAAAATTTTTCTTTGGTATATTTCGTAACACATGTTTCAACTTAATAAGGGTGCATTATAAATGAAGTATTGATATCTTCGTTCTTTTTGTCTATATGTCATAGAATGTACTAACATAATATTAAATTATTCTTCTTGTGAAGTGACTTCTGCAGAAAGAGATTTTTATTATGCGTGCCTCTCGAACTATACTTCAATAAAACAAAATTACATGTAGGTATAAGAGTTTTATCCGCAGCTATTCCATTTATAATGAATCTTATGTTCTAGTGAAAACAATGAAAATCGTTTCTAAAGATTTATGTACAGAAAGTCATAGGTTAATTTTCGCTTTCAGAAGAGTATATACAGTCAGTCCTTTAACATCCTCCAGAAGTTTACTTTCGCGTAATTGAACTGACGTATAATTTTAGTTAAAGAAGAATATAAACCAAATATTATGAAGCTTAAGAATTCAAATTCCTTCTCAACCTTAAACATATGTATGAAATGTTAATCAAATCAAAAATCAATTATTTGGTACTATTGATATTATTTAAAAGAGGAAAAATGAATTTACTGAAACACTTTAGGTCCTGCGATAAAATTAAGATTGTTGTATTTTGTAAATATCTAAAACTACACTTTTCGCAAAAGTGACATATATCGTCCTTCCTTATGTACAAAAAGTAAGTTAAACCTTTATTTAAAAAAGACACTACTTTGTTACAGTTTTACCACTTTTTGTACTGGTTAAGAAATTATTTTATTTTTATTATTTTTTAATCCCACATGGACAGAAATGGCGCTTTTAGATAGCTGACGACAGGGAGTAGAGTCATTCATTTGTTCGTCCATCCTCCATTCGAATAACTAATTCTAATGATCTGTAAATTTAATCTTATCAAAATGAGGTGAAATGCCCAATCAAAAGTCAAAACAATTTATCGGTTCGATAATGTGACGTGGAAATTTATACCTTATTTGTTTGTCGTGTAAATTTTACGCGTAATTGCTTCAGAACATCCATTTCCATTACAAGCCATAATTTCAAAATTGTAATTATTATTTGTAAAGTCATCTTCAATATTTGCAAACTCATCTTTACAATTTAGATAAACTTGTCGTCTCCTACCATTGAAGAGTGATGGCACCCATAATCGAACTGAATACCATCCTTCACAATTTTTATTAGTATTGTCATGCCACTTGATTGTAGCTATTTTATTTTTGATAGAAATATCAAAAACATCTTCTGCTGGTTTAGCAGGTGTGACTATAAATTAAAATCATAGAAATCTAAATTAATAGTAATATAATTAAAGGGTGCATATTTATCAACCTACAATTATCACCTACAATTTAAATATAAAGAAGTACAATAAATATTGCGACTCATACATACTTTGGGAATGATGAGCGTTGCATGCATTTTTTGCAGTGTGGAAATTAGGATCGTGGCTGTCGGTGCCAATGACAATAAAATTGATTTCGTAGTATTTCTCAGGAGAGACTTCTGGGATCCTAATGGTTCTATTACTCTATGCATAAAAAAGTATCAATATTTAGATTTTAGTGATTTTAAAGTGGTATAGAGTATAAGATTGTAAATAAATGTAGATGTGTGACCTCCTTAAAGGAATTAACCTATTGCGGCTTATTAATGAATCTTTTCTTACCATTTCTGATAAATTCGATTGTTCTACCCACAGGATGGTGCATGATGAGTCAGTGGTGTCTACAACTTTATAATCTATAGGTTCTGCTACCTTACTCTCGACTGTAAATTAAATTATTTATTAAAGTATAAGCACGGACAAAATGAAATTGCACTAAGATTTGTACCTATTTCATATTCCCTGCTCACTAATTCTTCAGAACATCCTTCTCTATTACACGCACGAATTGTGACATAGTAAGTTCCTGGGTCTAGATAAAAAGGACCAGCTTCGTAGTTGAAGCATTCTATATGACCTTCTGCTACTATAAACCTATGGTCTGTTTTCTTAAACACATAAATATTGAATCGTTGAGCACAGTTCCCATGAAGTGAAGAATCTTTTAATACCACTTGTGCAATTCCATCTTCAAATGAAATCATAAACGAATTTCTATGGGGTGTACTAGGTGCAGCTGTAAATAAAAATACAATATCGATAAAGAGATAAATTTTATATTATAAGAACATAAATTTTATTTCATATTATCCTAAACCCGCCTCCTCTTCCATCATCAACCATCAATCCATCAAACCACGAAAATCTCTATTATCTCCAAATCCACCTCTATCGCTATCTACCATTCGTACATCTGACTCCTTTAAGTATATTAAAAATATAAAATACCATTAAGATTCATACCTTTCACTGGCAATGTGTTGCATTCCACTTCTACAAAAGGCGACATTTCTGAATTTTGTGCAGATACAGAAATTGCATATATGTTTCCAGGATGAAGATTATCAATCGTAATAGGTTTATTAGATAAAGTTGAGTTTAGAGATCGAGGTCCAAAATTTCGAATTCCCTGATCAACAACATGTATTATGTAACCTTCATCGTTGTAATTATTCGTTAACTTTTCCCATTGGATTGTGCACGATGTATCTGTGACGTTCAATACTTCGATTGCTCGGTTTGAACTACCTAAATTAACAAATTTTGTCTCAAAAGTCTAAAAAATGCCGAAATATTTGTGATGATATTCAAACTTTAAAAAATCTTGTGTTATTATTGACATAAATGAAACGCCAGTTAATAAAATAACTTTCTAAGCAGTAGCATTACAAATAATTTCGAATTCTATAGAACAATTCGTTTAAACCTTAAAGGAAGGTGTAAAAGTTGATGTCTTCTTCACAATCAATCTATGTTTTTCATGAATAAAAGCATTTTAATTAAAACTAGATTTTATTTATAAAGTTTTTTTTATAAAATAAAGTTGAATTTTCACCTGACACATATTCTTTGGTCACCATTGGATCAGAACATTTGTATCCATTACAAATCACAATTTTGAATTTGTACGTTTTTCCTTTCTTTAAATTACGAAAATATTTGGAATTCATTGTGCATAATATTTCCTCTTTTTGAATAACACTGTTATTGTTTGATGGATCTATAAGATAAATTTCGTACCATAAACCACATTGTACCCAGTTTATGTGCTCCTTCAACATGACAATAGCATGTGTGTCCTCAAATGAAATATAAAACGTATTTTCTTCAGCTTTATCAGGTTTATCTGTAAATTGAAGAAATTAAAATTGAACTAAAATAATTAAAGGAAGGGACTTTAAGAAAAAAGTTATATTACATAAAAAATATTAAAAATCTATTAGGATTCTTAACGGCTTCTATTAGTATAAGTCGTTCTATTTAAATGATTATGGTGACACATACCTAAAGGTTCAACTGTTGTGACATCTGTACTCTCAAAAAAGATGCCTTTACTTTTATCAACAACTCTAAATTTATATGTAGTAACAGGATTAAGTCCAGAAACATACATAACTAAAGACTGTAATGCTTGTATGAAATGAACATCATGAATTTGAGTAAGTACGGAAGTATTTCGATTTTGAACTAAAACTAGATAATTATCTTTCACATAATCATCTTTATTCGCCGGGATTACCAGTCGGACGTCTGAACTGTAGACATCATACACATCAATATTTCCTGCGAGTTTAGCAGGTATATCTATAATTAATAATATTTGTATGTAAAGAATTGAATTTAGTGTGATAAGAATAAAACATTTAAAAAATTAAGATACTGTAACTATCAAACAAAGATTATAATTTCTTACTTTCATCTTTGTCAAAAGTCAAGATTATGCAAATTGAGGTTTACACTCAACACGTCAAAATTGGGTTATTTGACAAACCAACTTTAAAAAGCATATTTTATCTATTATTTTAATTATTAAAAATAATTAATCAACTTATTCTATACAAGAATCAATCATTCTTTTTGCACTTTAAAGAATTTTTCTATTTTCTTACATATTTTCGAAGTGCTAAAAAAGTGACATTTTTCCGCACCTTCTACACTTTACACTCATATTTAAAAGAAAGTGATAAATATTTTAACATAATTCTTTTTATTTCGTTCCCCAGAGATCATAAACAGATTCATTTCTAAAAGAATCAATTTTTTTTAAATTAGGCCGCAACGGACTTTAATCGTAATGTAATGATTTAAGCCAATAAATACATAATAATAATTTAAAAAATTAAAGTACCTATTAAGTATAGAAAAATATAGAATTTTAATTTTGTTTTTTTAAATATTTATTTACGATGTACGGATATAATTTGTTCATAATTTTGTCTATTTTTTGTATGATTTCAGCAATTTATACAAAAAATAAGTATACTCACCATTAGAATTGACCGTTCCACATACAAGAATTGCAGTAACAGCAAGACAGATTATAAACTTCATTTTAGTATAAAGACAATATTGCTAATTTGCTCTGAAGCACTGTGGAATTTTGATAATGAAGACACAAGCACAATGAACTGCTTATATACTAGAATTATGGCAATTTAACATATATTTCGCTTCCTAATATAATTGTGTAATTATTTTCTTTCACTTCTGTTATCAGAGTCTTATCTAATTACACCTAATATAATTTTATATCATTTGGAATTATGATTTCGATAGTTCATTAACACTATATCAAAATGTACTTCGTTCGCTTGATTTTATTTGTAATTTAGTCATGAACTCATAAAGAATAAAGTAAAATATTTGTTAGGTATATATTTTCTCATAAAATTGTCAAACATTTTGTTATCTGGGTCAATGTTTGCAACTAAGAATAGTTATAACTACAATTATTTTCATTTCCTATTTAGAAATTTACAATAAGGAACATTGGATCGTGATGATAGTTATCGAACATATAGTTTTTTTTAATAATACAAAAGTCATTAATCTCAAATCTTTTATTTTTTACATTAATTTTATTACAATAAACAGTTACTTAGAAGTAAGTATCTAGAGAAATTTTTCGCTATTCCTAATGAAATTTTTTTTTGTGCATTATTTTGTGAAATTTCACTGAAAAACTCAGTCAACATTCACTGCTCTTCAGTGGAATTTCACTGATGCAGATTAAGAGGAAAAGGAAGAAAAACTTATCACATTAACTCTAATTGAATTATTAATAAAAATTATTTTTTGTAAATAATATGATTGTAGTACACTAATTGAAAAATTGATTGCTTATTATACCTAGAATATAACTGATTTTGCACTTTTGAATAAACGGAGTTAAAACAGTTTACCAAAAAGTCGGGAACTATTTCTTAAGTCGTAAATTGCTAAATGTGGTCAAATAATTTTAATTTTTAGAGAAATAGTATATAACTTATTTAATGAGGCAACTACTAACTTCTTCAGAAATATTGGTCGTGTCCAACACTTGAGCACTAAGTTCCTGATTTAACTGTGAACTGTTTCTTTTCGTGTAATTTTTACATCTATAATAAACTACAGCTTCTCTTATTACTAAATAGAATTTGTCTAACAAATCATCACCATTTGATATGATTTTTGGTATTTCTGAGTATGAAAGTTTTGATTGTCTCAAAATTCTACCTTCATTCTGATACATTTCAGAGTAATCTATCGATAACGTTGCGTTCATCCATTTTAATGTCTTTGACAAATATTCAGTAATAACATTTTTCTCATTTTCAGCAATTTTTGTCATATTCTCAACATAATTCCATGTCGTATCTATTAATTTTAGCATACCTTCTATATAATTAATTTTCAAAAAGCAAAAGAATTTAATGAACTGAAAAATATTCGAATGCATACAAAAATATTTTAAATTATCATTGTCTGTGATATTTATCGATGTTATGTTTTTATAAGCAGATTGTATGAGAGTAGAAATGTTGAAAAAATTCCCTAGTTCGGTTATGCTAATATCAATATTAATTTTCTTATTTATTATCTGCAAAGATAAACACGGTATATCATTAAATAAATATTCTGTATCGTAAGAAATTTGTTGTCCTTTTAAAAAGTCGTAAAATTTCTGTGCATATTCAATCGTATTATTTCCTTCATAATGTGAATGGGGATTATTAATTAATTCTGCGAAACTATTGAAAAAAGTGGCGTATACTGAAAAATATTTTGGATAGCGTCTGTGAAATTCTTGATGCAGAGTAATTAAATATATAGGTTTCAAAAAACGGTTCCTACAGTTTGTTGTGAATAAGTGACAGTTGTCTGGTAGAGCGGAAATTACTGAGTCAGGACGAATATTATTAACTTCATCAAGAGAAAAATAATTAGCAATGTTTACAAAATAAAATACAACTTTTGAATAATCTTCAATCATCTTGTACTCGAAATAGGTAATCAATACGTCGTGATGTCTATTGAAGTTTAATGGGTAAACATAATAATAAGTACCATTGGATTGAAACAGATAAAAATGTTTCATTATTTCATCATACACAAACTGTTTTTTATAATGAAGATCCTCTCGGTTTATTTTCGGTATTACTCTTTTGCCTCTAATAAATCCAGCTTTCCAAATCCCTGTCTGCATATTGTTTGTAACGATTATTACTAATTTCTTGAAATTCATCTCAGGAAGTAAAGCATTGATTGTGTCCAAATAATTATAAAATAAACAGGGTGAACTTAGCATTGACTTGATACTATTCTCTTCTCTCTATAGATACAAATATTCAGAATTAATAATTGTTATTTGTTATAAATCTTAATATAGTTTTAATATTATTTTTCAACGTTGGTTGTGGAACTATTTTTTTTAGTGTGGGTAAATTTATAAGGAACGATATTAGGTGGTGTTGATAAACTTCCCAGTGGGGACAAAGACAAAAAACGTTCTTTAAACGTCTGTAGAACGTTTAATGTCTGCCAATTTATGTTTTAAGAACGTTCGACTGTTCCAAAAATGTTTCGGAACATTCGGATGTTCTTTGAACGTAAATTGTCAGACATTAAACGTTCTACAGACGTTTAAAGAACGATTTTTGGCTTTGTGCCCACTGGGTTGATAACAAGTTTTGTGTTCAAATTTACTATAACTACAGATAAGATGACTACATCCCGACTGCGAATTCCTATATAGGATCTTACATAGGATCCTGTAAGTAACCTTATCTAAAAGTACATAAAAAATCCTAGAATGATTGTATAGGAATCTATGTAGATTCGGGACGCATGATTATTCCCCAAATGTCATTTTTCCGAAATATCATTTTACCGAACTGCACTTTTGCGAATAGTCATTTTTGCGAAAAGCCATTTTTACGAATTTTCATTTTTGCGAATTGTCATTTTTGCGAAATTTCATTTTTAAGAAATGTCATTTATGCGAATTGTCACTTTTGCGAATCGCCATTTTTACGAATTGTCACTTTTCCGAAAAGTCATTTTTGCGAATTGTCATTTTTGCGAAAAATACAATAGTAAACTTGTAGGTATATATAGATTCACTATTGTATTTTTCGCAAAAACGACAATTCGTAAAAATTACTTTTCGCAAAAATGACGTTTCGTAAAAATGTCGATTCGCAAAAGTGACAATTCGTAAAAATGGCGATTCGTAAAAATGTCAATTCGCAAAAGTGACAATTCGTAAAAATGTCGATTCGCAAAAATGAAAATTCGTAAAAATGATTTTTCGCAAAAATTACTATTCGCGAAAATGGCTTTTCGCAAAAATGACTATTCGTAAAAATTACATTTCGCAAAAATGGCTTTTCGCAAATATGACTATTCGCAAAAGTGCAGTTCGGTAAAATGACATTTCGGAAAAATGACATTTGGGGAATAATCAGGCGTCCCTGTAGATTCCTATATAAAAAACCACATATGAAATTGGCACAGGATTTTTTATAGGGATTCATATAGGAGTTTGCATTCATTATACGACTCGAAAATCCATGTCAATTCTCATATGATTTCCTACATGGAATTTCACGTAGGATTTTATATGAGACTAGCTGTCGTACCCGTCTTCGACGGGTTTTAGTTTCTACCAATACATTTAAGTTTCTACCAATCTGGAAAATCAGGAAATAGCTAGGGAATTTAATTTGACCGGAAAAAAATAATAATTAGTTACCATTATAGCTATTTTAGTAGGAAAATATTACTATTTGAATCAGTGATTGACTTTTTGTTATCAAATTAGTAATTTTAACCAATTCAAATGCAGAGAACAATATTTATCAATTTGTAGTACTTTAATTAATGTATTAAAAAAATTAAATTTTCCATACAGTTTTTGGAGTTATAGTAGAGTCTAATTGGAACTAATTGTATCGCAAGTAGACCCTACGTTACGACTGCTAAAACCTAACATAAGACCTAAATTTTAGGCTGAAAGTGGGGCTTAAATTTTGACTCGGGTCTGTTTTCATAAATATTATACATCAATAAAAATTGAAGTAAAAAGCAATTTTTTAAAAGCGAATTAATATAATGAAACTTTTTCTTAATTTGATAGGAAAATTCCCGGTTCGGCATATTTCCAGCTTTTTACAGTTTTTCCCGTTTGGTAGATACCCAGTTAAATGTATTAGTATAAACAGAAAACTGTACGACAGCAAGTAATACAATCTATATTTATATGAACTTAAGAAACAGTATTTTCATAAAATAAGTAAATTTTTATAGCCATTTGTAGATTTATTTATGGATAAAATCAAGTAAATTTAAATTTGACAAAAAAGAGATAAACCGTGAAAAGTTTGGACAAAGCAGGGAATTTTGTTAAACAAAAATAGACACCGTGTTAACTTTTGTCTTTACATTGCTCAAAACATCTCTTAAAGTTAAATCTAGAGTTAAAATGAAAAAACGTTTTAACATGTAAGTTTTTGCCTAGTGGCATAATATGCTTGTATTGTATCACAGGTGACTTACAATTCTTGACATCCTGCGAAATCATTTTAATCATAAAAAATTTCCATTTTCAATATTTCTGAACTTCTTGAAAATATTAGATTGATTTGATAAATAATTTTGAATTGCACTATTTTGACATCAAAATATTAATCAGAGACTCCAAAAATACTACTGAATTATACTTCATATAGTAATTAGTATCGATTTTTTGATATATTGAAAATTTTTTTATATTTCTTGTAGGATAGTATTTTTTGCAAAATTATGATAAAATCTGACTAAATAACATATAATATTCATTTTTAGAAAGTTTAAAAGCTATCCATTAAAAATTGTGAAATTTGGAAATTTTTCAAGTTTTTGAAAATATTTTTATATTTACATCTTAGTTGTAGAATAGTATTTTTTGAAAAATTATGCTAAAATGTGACCAAATAACATGTAATACTCAAATATAGAAAGTTTAAAAGCAATCCATAAAAAAATGTAAAATTTTGAAATTTTCGATTTTTTGAAAACATTTTTATACTTACATATTAGTTATAGGACTTTATTTTTTGCAAAGTTATGCTATAATGTGACTAAATAACATATCATACTCAAGTATATAAACTTCAAAAGCAATCCATGAAAAATAAAAAATTTTGAAATTTTCGATTTTTTGAATTTTTTGAAAAAATTGAATATCTCCCGTTCTAATTAATATTTTTTAAATCTGTAAATTTATAAACCTTCCTTGGGTCAATACCTAATAACCTACCAAGTTGGACTTAAATCGATTCACATGTTTTTGTGTGATTGGGGTACAAAGTTTTTGTGACAGACAAACATACATACATACATACATACATACATACATACATACATACATTAAATTTTTTAAGAACATTTTTGGAATCTCTGATGTCCATAATAACTAATCATGTTAACATTTTGAAGTTTTAAGCAATGTACAGACAGACATCTGATTTTATTAATAAGGATTTCACATAAGATTTAATATGAGATTCGACATAGGATTTCATGTGAGATTTCACGTATGTGATTTTTATATGTGGTTTTTTATAGGAATCTACATAGATTCCTACAATTATTCTAGGATTTTCTATGTACTTTTAGATAAGGTTACTTACAGGATCCTATGTAAGATCCTATATAGAGATTTTCATTAGGGATGTATACTTTGCACGACTTTTATTATTTTTTATTCAAAAAAATTTTTTATGTATAGGGGAGATTTTTTGTTAATTATATTATATTACTTGCCGTCAAATTTGAAACCAAGTTGTAAGCCTTCCTCATTGCATTCCTCCAGTTTCCACTTTCATTTAGTGTTTGTTTTTTCAAATTTTCAAGTTGGTGTAAAATAAAATCTTTTTCGACTAAATATTCATTTTGATACAAAGACATCAAACTGTTGAACCACACCATTGGTTTGACCAATGATTTATTGACATGTTGTTGTAGGGTATCTGTCCATGCAGATATGTTGTAGGATGTAATATCAGATACATCTTTTATAAAACAAAACAATTTAAATGTATTTATATTATGTTCATTCTTGCATATATTGCCAAATGAGGTATCATTCGCATTCAGTGAAAAAACAGTTTCGTTAATCCAGTTTAAATAATTAATTCCAGTAAATGGGTGCTTTTCATTTGGTTGTTCAATATTATCGTAAAACATGTCGTGTCTAACTATTAGAAGTCTCGAGTTAAAACACTTCAGACTTCTGTCGGAAACATTTTTCTTGTAACTTTCATCAAAATTGTTATTTTTTTTAATTTGTTGCAGTAATGTATTAAAATGCATTATAAAACTTTCGCTCTCTGAATTAATGTTAAATCCAATCGAATCGCAAACGTAATCATTGTCGAATGCTTCTAGGGATATGTACTTTGTTTTTTCTCCAAACAATTGTTCTCGCAATTGGAATAATTCGGAGAAACTCTCACCTGCCTGTAGTTTTTTGTTAACGTATTCTACCAGAAGGCAATTGGTGCAACTTGGTTTCAGAGGAACTAAAATATCTTCATAAAAAGGATACTCTTGCTTTACGTTAACAAAATCAAACGTAACCCCCACCTGATCGCTTAATAGCATTTTTTGACAGTATATAGTGAAAGAATAGTGTAGAATGTTTACAGGATAAATAAAGTAGTACACATGGTCAGCTTGAAACAGATAAAAATTTTCCGATATTATATTATACATCATACTCCAATAATTGTTGTTTTTTATTATTTTATCGTATGATATTCTTTTGCTGTGAGATATATTTCTAACTCTATTTATTCCTTCAATAAATTCACTTGCTATAAGCACTATTAATGGTTTATAATTTTTTCGAAAGAGCAAACGATCAATTGCGCGGGAATAATCGAAAAGAGTACAGATATCATTATCAGGCATGGATGTTCTTTCCTTTTCTTCTACCTGTAAAATACCAATTTTGAAAAGCATACGTACATTTTTAGTGTCTAATCCTACAGATAATGAAATTTCTTCTCTTAGCTACTGAGAAAAAGATTGAATATCCAGGTAAAATAAAAAATTTAAATAAATAAAAACATGCACAGTTTTAAATACATCCAAAAATATATATGTCCCTATTTCGAAACAAATTAAATAAAAAACTTTTTAAAAATTACTGATTCGATCATCAACATATTTTTCCTACTACACAAGTATCGCAAATATCCAATAATATAATTCTCTTAAAAGATTATGAAAAATAAAAATCACTAAAAAAACAGAGGTACACTTTTAAGAATATTATATCTTTTATAGTTTTCACGTTTTATTTTTTTAAGTATGTTTATGGAATTCTTAAGATATTTTAAAATAGTTTATAAGAGTGAATAAACATTGGTTTCCAAAAGAATCTTATTTAAAAATTTTAAATACTTTTTAAAAAATTGAAACTGACACTTGCTAAATCATGGAATTATGAACTTTAATAAAGCAAAACATAGAAAAAATAAACAAAATAATTTATTTCAATGGTGAAATCGTGATCCTTATTTGGTTCTTAATAATATGTGAATATTTAAAAATCATTAGTTTTGATATTCAGGCTGTTTTAGGATAAATAATTTGAGGGAACTAAAGGTTAAAAGTTATAGAGATTTACCCATATAACAAATAACAAATTATTCAATAACTCCCCAACTTAAAATACCCGTACAGGATCCTGTGCAGGATCCCGACCGGATCCGGTACGGGGTTTTGGGACAGGGTTCCGATGCAGGAACCTTAGCTATCAAAGGTTCCTGTAAAGGTTCCTGTACAGGAACACTTGCAGGATCCTGTACAGGAAACTTTTTAATTTTTTAAACTTTTATATGTTAAGCAACATTTGACATACAGACTTCATATTTCAATATGTTAGGCTCGTATAACAATGTTGGACACAAAAATGTATTGCGCATTCGAGAAACTCATAGAAAACTACTGCGCAGGAGTTAAAAATATAAATAAATTAATTGAGGAAACTGTGTAGGATCCTTTACGGGTTCCTTACAGGATCCTTTATACTTAAGTACCTGCAGTTTACAAAACTGCAAAGGATCCCGAGAGGATCCTTTAAGGATCCTGTACGGAGATTTTAAGCTGAGTCATCACGACTGTTTGATAACATTTTTTTGAACTATATACAAAAATTATTGTTTTCAAAAATCTTTTTCTTTCCTTTTTTAAACTTAAAATTTTATCATTTTTTATCCCCCCTTAAATGGACAAGTAATCTACTACTTGAATCAATTCAATTTTTTTCAGTGTATTTACCAAATTTGACCCATTTATAAGAAATGTACAAAATAAAAGTTATGAATAGATAATTCAAGTGAAATTGTTTTCTTCGATTTTACTAATTTATACTAGAAAAGAACCTAATAACATAATTTTATATATTATTCTTAAAAATTTAGTAATAGTTTTGAAGTTTAACTTACATTGCTTCCTCTCAAGATTGAAATTTGCCCAAGTAGCACTAGCAAAATCAAGTTGAATGCCACCAAAAATTTACTGCGGTAGATCATGTTTGGTTGTTGTGTAAATATTTGCTTCGACACACGTACTGATGTACTTTGGAAATAAGAAAATTCTCTGCTAAAAGAATGATTGATGTATACGTCGCTATAGTGAAATATGATACCAGATAAATAATATTTTAACAATTTTCCTTTTATAACTTTATTTTTTAATAGTTCAGAAAACAAAATGTCGTGCACGAGAAATATAAAATAATAGACTGCTGCCAAGGTTAACTAAGTGATTTTTTTTGTCATCGGAAGTGGAAAATCTGTGAATTCAGATACCTGGATAAAGAATCTTAGGTTATGTAGGGATGACCGCTCTCGTTCTGGTCGACCCACTAAAAACCACTCCCGTCTTTTTCTGAACTATTCTTCAACCCACGGAAAGAAAGAAAGAACGTTATTTTGAACTTGATTTCGAAGAAAATAACGAAGAATTTACTAACGAGCAAAATAATCCGATAGTGAATGAACCTCGAGTTGTACAACAGACAAGAGGTCGAGGAAGACCTAGCCTAATTCGAACCGGGGGGCGAGGACGCCCAAGAAAACGATATTCAACAAGGATCGACGCAGACAATCAAGCAGTCAACGATGAGAGAGCGGAAAATTATGTGAATTTGGAGGAATAAGATGGATTCGAAATCCCGCAATTGTTGAAGAGGGGAATTATGAAGAAAACATCGAAAATGCCGAAATTAACAATTTGGAATCTAACGAAAATCAAGATATCTATGAAGATGCTGCCGAAAATTTCATCAATCCGAAATGTGTGGATAATCAATATGAATTAAATTATGAACAAGAGTATTTGTTCATTAGGCCGAAGTTCCCTGGAAAGAAGCATTAAATGGAGACGACAGCAATGACTGGAGGAATACCATCACTGACGAAATTTTCTCGTTCATTAAAAATAAAACTTGGAGCATTACTGTTCTGTCCGAAACATCGTGACGTGATAGGCTGCAGAACCATTCTAAGAAACAAGTCTAAGAAATCTCTCAGCAAGATAATACAATAGCAAATATTTAAATTTCGTTTCTTTTTATAACCAACCATCTTTGATAACGACTGAAGCGATCTCTGTGTTTTCGACGACAAGCGCTAGTATTGTGTTATACTACATATATAGTTACTACTTTTGAAATAATATATTTTTGGTGTGTCTAAATCGTCTCTTTTGTTTTCTCCTTCTTTGAACCTTCTTTACATATTGCACTGGGAAAAATTAGTTGCTTTCATTGATTACAATTAAAAGTTCTCTTTAGAACTTCCACTGATTACAACTAAGTATCTAAAACGAAATGATTTAAAAAAAGTTTTTCGACATGTTATAAACTTTTCAATAACTTATTTTATGACATTTTTATTTTGAAATTCTAAAGCTTATCTCATGTGCAAAGAATGCAAATCGTAGTTATCGTTTATTTTTTACAAATATTCAGTAAAAACATTTTTCTCCTCTTCAGCATACAATTTGATAGTCTCAAAATAAAACGATTTCGTATCTATAAGTTTTAGCATACCTTGAATTTAATTTATTTTCCAAAAGCAAAAGAATTTAATAAACTGAAAAATATTCGAATTCATACAAAAAAATTTTAAACTATCATTGTCTGTGATTGATATTTATAGATGTTATGTTTTTATAAGCAGATTGTATGAGAAATAAAATATGAAAAAAATCTTCTATTTCAGTTATCCTGAAATCAATGTTAATTTTTTTATTTAATTTATTTTCTGCAAAGATAAGCACAGTAAATCATTAAATAAATAATCTGTATAGTAAGTAATTGGTTGTGTTTTTAAAAAATTGTTAAATTTCTAGTGATGCATTCGATTGACACGATATATAAAAAACGATCGATATTTGTTCTTATTATGTCAAAAAAACAATATGAGAATAAGTCTTTTGTTTTTCGAACAATATTATCGTTATTCGAGCGAAAGTACCAAGATTCTCAGAATTTTTAATTTGGACATAATTTTCAGAATAATAAAAACAAAATTCTTTATTAAATACATTCAAATAAATAAAATAGTTTCTTGATTAGAAGTTTGCTGATGTTTAATAGAATAGTTGACTACATTTTTTAGTTAATTTATACAATTTTGTTTTGAATAAAAAATTGATAATAATTAATGTCTACTTAGTTTAGTTAACCTCCTTACCTTTTAACCCGAGTATATACTCGTGGAGTATCTTTCATTTATTTATTTAAAAAATTTTAATTCGAGAGTCACATAAATAAAGTACCAAGAGTAACTTGAAGCTAAAGAGTTGCATTTAAGGGGGGAGCCTACTTTAGAAGACCTAAAAATAGCGCTTTTTTAAAAATTTTTTTAGGAAGGAGAAAAATAACTTAGACCTCCGGGCTTTTTGAGATGTTTTTGTACATATTTAAAGCATTTGTGTAAAAATTTTTGACATGAAATATTAAAAAATAGATCAGTTAAAATTTATTGTTGATGGTGGTGCACATCTGGACTTAAAAAACGGTGGGCACGATAGAGACCACAATTCTTGTCTCAAACATAAAAATAAAGAAAAATTTTAAAGTTTACATATGTAGTTTCTATTTGAACTAAAAAAATTCCAAAGAAATAGTGAAATTCGATAATTTTGAGTGATAAAAACAAAAAAATCATTTTTTTGGAAAAAAAATAATGACTTTAACTGGTTTTCAAAATTGTTAAAAAATTTTTTTCAAATTTTTTTAGTTCAAGTAGAAGAGGGATTAATACTGAGTAAAACAAGCCATCATTCATTAAAATCGGTCCAGGCGTTTTCTGTCAATCCTGCCCACCAGTTAGTAAAATTTGTAAAAAGTGAAATTCGAGAAAACGCGCTCTAACTTTCGCGCTACCGACGGGCCAATTAATGTTATAAATCTGCTCGAATTTTGCATAAAAAATCGCGATTTTAAGTCACTGAACAAAATTTTATCTACTTTCGAAAAATAAAAAAATTAAAATTTTTTTACATTTCCTCTAGTTTATTTATAACAGTTCAACAATTGATTGTAACCTTACACTCGACAAAAATCGACGAAAAACATGAAAAATAATTTAGATTGGCCTCTAAAACTTTAGGTACATATTCTTGGATGTATTTTCTAAAGATTTAAGCAAAAAAAAAGTCGATTTTTTTAACCATGTAAAGTAGGCTCCCCCCTTAATATCAAAGTAAAAATGAAATAGTCAAAATTAATTTTAACAAAGTTATAAATTTCTTTCCTGCAAAATTGAAAAATAATAAAACCGTAGCAAAGTGAGATTCTTTTACAATTTACTGTTCAAAAATGTCTACAATAATAACCTACAATTTTTAACCGATTTGAGTGTTCTCTGTTTAAAAAATAACTTATTTAAATTGTTACAAACAATATTAATTAACAAATAAATAACTTTCATTTTTCTTCACTAAAAAAGGTTTTATTTACACGTTTTCTTTTTAATTTATTTAAGTTCAATACAAGAATATATGTCCTTTTCGTTTAAAAAATTATTTATTTAAATTGTCATAAACAATATTAATTAATAAATAGTTAACTTTGATTTTTCTTCACTAACAAAAGTATTTTTACACATTTTCTTTTTAATTTAAGATTATTACAAGAATATATGTCCTTATTGTTTAAAAATATATATTTTTTTAAATGAGCCTAAATAAAAAAGTAAAAAAATTTTCTTCTGTCATTGTAGAATAAATTTTTATTTCCTAATAAAAACCGAGATTATCGTTCGGTGTCGATCGATATTTCAGTACGATTTAATCTAATCTAACAACCGAGATCGAGCTGGATTTTCCCAAAGAGGGTAAAGTAAGCACCTAGATTAGAAAACTCATTGTACCAGACTCCAGCTCACTCGTTTATAGCAACCCCTTTAGAGTCCTGTTCTTCTCCAGAAGTCCAGTATCTCTCCTATCGATAGGTTGCTCACCTGCTTAGGGTCAATAATTGATTGACCCCAACTGGATAGCCTGATCCTAGCTAATGCTGGGCAGTCAGATAATATGTGAGTCGAAGTTTCGTTACTACATACTTAATTCTGGTATTGATAGAATTGAGCGTGGAAGCTTGGTGTGTATACCACTAACCTTCCACCTTCCCTGCGCAGTTAACCTGCTCATAGTAAGAACCGCCCTTTTTACCGCAGCAATATGCAGAAGTACTTCGGCTAGCATGCATCCCAACGAAGCTGTTGGCGTGGTCCTCATAGCCCCCGTAATACCCCTAAAAATCATTGCTTGCAGTTGGTCCCGTTTAACTTTAACCGGTATCATTCATCCATGGACACGAGTTCATTACGGATTGGGTGGAAGAGACTCGCACCTCAATCGCCATGGCACAGCCAACGTAACCATGGAAGGGTTTCTTCTTGGTCAGACTTCCACCAGTAGGAAGTCTTCGGAATGGATCCGCGGTTAAGCCTCTGTCCATCCCGTCTCTCTCCATATCCCTCTAAATCCCCGTGCCCTGGGACACTGCCCAGCGAAAAACAGAAGATTTGGTTTTTATAGCGGCCGACCCATTTTGAAGGGTTCGCCCCCTCAGTCCCCACGAGAGATATCGAGAAGTAGCCTCCCACTGGGTAAAAGCTTCTTCTTTGAAGTTTTAATCTCTGGTATATCTCTTTTTAGCGTCCAACAATAGTCCGCTAACATATTCTTACTCCATTTCCCTTGTTAGCGTTTCTCCATATCCTTTAAATCTTGGTGAAATCTCTCGCCTTGTTCCTCGCTGAAATCACCAAGATTTTCAGGAAATTTATCTAAATGTGAAATCCTGCAATTTCTCTATATCTGTGGCTTTTTTTTATTTCCTAGAAATTCCACGCAAACTTCCTTAAAACTTGTCCAGGCTGCTTTTTCATTAAGCTTTATCGTTTGTACAAATTTTTCGTCATATAACAACTTACGTATCTGAGGCCCATCGAATACGCCTTCTTTGATTTGCCTTCTTTGATACGGCTGATTCCAGAATAGCTAAAAATCGTCTCGACTTTCAAGACGATTCGATGCGCGTACATACATTTTTGCTTACTGCGCATCGAAATCGAGACGATTTATTTTATTGTGGACTCAACCTGATTTTAGCGTCAGACAGTTTCGCAAACTTCTCCGCCAAATACTCAAAACATTTACCATTTATGTCAAAGGCTTTTACAAATCGCCGATACTTTTATTTTGAAACTCCAAAGCTTACCTCATTGCAAAGAATGCAAATAATAAATGAATGAAGTCAACAATAAGGAACACTGGATCGTGATGGTAGTTATCAAACATAATTTTTGTAATAATACAAAAGTCATTAATTACAAATCTTTTATTTTCTTAATTGATTCTATTACAGTAAGCAGTTACTTAGAAGTACGTATATGAATTACATTAAACATTGTGTAATAATGTAAATAAAAAGCTACATAGTGAATACATTTTTCACTTGAAACAAATTTCAATGGCACTATATTATGGTCATTTTTAGTTGTTGCAATAAATACTTATTCTATTCTAGAAAAACTTATCGCTATTCCTGATGAAATTTTTTTTCGCCATAGACATGAAAAAGTGTCTTTTTGGGACCTGTATTGGACAAATAAAGTAGCACTTTTTCAAGCAGTTCTGGACAACTGCCGTAAAAAGACTTTTTATGGCAGTTTACTGAGATTGAATTTTATATTGAGATTAATATATAGATTAATATTGAGATTGAATGATTGAAAGATTGAGAGACTGAGATTGAGAGATTGAAAATGGGATTGAATGATTGAGAGAATGGGATTGGGAGATTGAGAATGTGAGATTGAGAGACTGAAATTAAGAGATTAAGATTGGGATTGAATGATCGAAAGATTAAATGATTGAAAGATTGAATGATTAAAAGATTGAATGATTGAATGATTGAAAGATTGATTAATTGAATGATTGAAAGATTGAAGAATTGAATGATTAAATGATTGAAGGATTGAGACTGAGAGGTTCATTTTTTCATATCAATGGCGAAAAAATAGCGTATGCGGTTCGCACGTAGCAATTTTAGATTCGGATGCTTTCAATACTCGCTATCTGTGCGACTTCGGCTGGACTTCGGCTTGACTCTGACTCGCCTTCGTCTCACCTGCGTCGCACTAACGACAGCTCGTATTGAAAAAGACATCCTCACCTAAAAAGTATTGCTTTACGTACTTGCCACTATACTATTTTGTGTATTATTACAAGTTTTTATTTTTTAAATGATTATGGTTTATTAGATTATTGAAAAATTGTTTGCTTACTACCTAGAAGATAAATAATTTTTCACTTTTAACTACACGGAAAAAACAGCTAACTAGAAAGTCAAGAAATAGTATATGACTTATTTAACTATGCAAGTACGCTTTTTTACAGAAATACTGGTCGTTTCCAACACTTGAGAATTAAGTTCCCGACTTATTAATGGATTTTTTTCTGTGTAATTATTACATCTAGAATAAATTGCAGTTTCTCTCATTACTAAATAGATTTTATTTAACGAATTAGCACCAATTGATATGAGTTTTGGTATTTTCGAGTATGAAAGTTTTAATTGTTTTAAAATTGTACCTTCATTATGGTACATTTCCAGGGCTCGAACCAGTGAAAGTATTTAAAAATACGGACTTTACGGACCAAAAATGAAAAATTACGGACCATTTACGGACCAACTACTGGCAAAAATATATAAGAGAACATTTTACTTAAAACTATAAATTAGATTTTTTCATAACTAATAAACATGAAGATATCGATAACTCCGAGTCTTCGACTCGGAGCGATCGATTACTTCATGTTTTATAATAAATTAAAGATAGAGTGATAAAATCATTATCATTTCAATTATTATTTTCAAGAATTTTTAACTAAAATTCTTCTTAAAATCGATTATTTTTAATAATTTTCGAAAAAGTTTTTTGACAATTTTCAAATCCGTTTCTTTACAATATTCAATTTTACGAATTTTCAATTATTTGTAAATTCTTCAATTAAATATGTATTAGAAAATAAAAACTTCAAATAATATAAAAAAAAATTCGCAATTAAAATTTCTCAAAAAAATTAATTCCACAGAATTGTTACTCAGTTAAAAATATGAAAAATTCAAATTTTCAAAGATTTGAATCTGAAACCTTTTTAAAATTTAATTATTTCTAAAACTTTACGCTCTAATACTTTTAATATTCAATTATAATCTAAAATTTTAACGGAAATCCATTTTTAATTTTTGAGAAAATTCTACGAGAATTTCATTATTTAAAAACAAAAAAAAACAATTTATTGAATAATTACATATGAATTATTACATTGAATTCTTTTAAAAAATTGTATCAATCAATTTTAAAATAATTTGAATTCTTTTGCAAAATTTTACTAGAATAGTATAGATACCTATTAAAAATAATTGAATTGAGGAAAAATTTTGAAAATAATTGAAATTTTTCCAAGAATTTTATTAAAATTTTTGAAAATAATTGATATTTTGGAGAAGAATTTAATTACTTCTAAAGATAATTGAAATTTTGACGAGAATTTTTAAAAAATTTTAAACATAATTGAATTTTTGCGAAGAATTTTATTGCTTTTGAAAATAATTAAATTCCTTCAATCATTTGTAATTTCTCTAAAATTATCCAAATTATATCGTATAATTTACGTACTTTACGGACCTTTTTCAATCAAATTACGGACTTTACGGACCTTTTTTCAAAAAAACGGACTTTTACGGACTTCAAGCAAAGTTACGGACTTTTACGGGATTTACGGACTTAGTTCGAGCCCTGCATTTCAGAGAAATCTATCGATAGCGTTCCGTTCATCCATTTTAATGTCTTTGACAAATATTCAGTAATAACATTTTTCTCATTTTCAGCAATTTTTTTTATACTCTCAACATACTTCGATTTCGTATCTATTAATTTTAGCATACCTTCTATATAATTAATTTGCAAAAAGCAAAAGAATTTAATGAACTGAAAAATATTCGAATGCATACAAAAATATTTTAAATTATCATTGTCCGTGACATTTATTGTTGTTATGTTTCTATAAGCTAATCGTGTAAGATTAGAAATGTAAAACAAATTTTCTATTTTAGTTATGCTAAAATCAACATTAATTCTTTTATCTATTTCCTGCAAAGAAGGGCACGGTAAATCCTTAAATAAATAATTCGTATAGTAAGCAACGTGTTCTGTTTTTAAAAGGTCATAAAATTTCTGTGCATATTCAATCGTATTATTATCTTTATAATGTGAATGGTGATTATTAATAAATTCTGATATACCATTGTAAAAAGTGGCATATAATGAAAAATATTTTGAATGGCGTTTATGAAATTCGTGATGTAGATTAATTAAAGATCTGGGTTTTAGAAAACGGTTCCTACAGTTTGTTGTAAATAAGTGATAATTGTCTGGTAGAGCGGGAATAACTAATTCATTATAGCCCATACTATTCAATTCATTCGGAAAAAAAATATTGGAGTATTTTGCGAAATAAAATACCACTTTTGAATAATCTTTAATCATCTTGTACTCGAAATAGGTAATCATTACGTCGACATATCGAATGGCGTTCAATGGATAAACATAATAATAAGTATCGTTGGATAGAATCAGATGAACATGTTTCATTATTTCATCATACACAAACTGTTTTTTATAATGAAGATCCTCTCGTTTTATTTTAGGTACTACTCTTTTTCCTCTTATAAATGCAGCTTTCTGAATCCCTGTCTGCATATTATCTGTTACAATTATTACTAATCTTTTGAAATTCATCTCAGGAAGTAAAGCATCAACTGTTTCCCAATAATTGTAAAATAAACAGGATAAACTTAACATAGAATTGAAATCTCTCTTTACACCCTGCAGAAACACATGTTTAGTATTAAAATTTGTTATTTATTATTACCCTTAAAACATGTTTAATATTGTTATTAGACATTTCACGAGAAACATTAAAAAATAGAACATTGGAGAAATTTTTTTATACATTCAGTTTTACAGTTCAATATTCATTCACTACAGATATGCAGCAGACTTCTAACAACTTCAATTTTTTTAAAGAACAAATTTATAAATGTTTATAAACAGTGTGAACTTAAAAGTATCAAATTGCAACGAATGGATAACAAAATGTAGATCCAATCATAAATTGATCCAATTTATTGATATCAATTTGATACCTGGCAGAAAAATATATAAGTAGATTATTTGACACATATAATTTATTACTTACCATTGAATTCGAAAATTCGAGAACGTTATACGCAGTATTCATTACATTCCTCCAATTTCCACTTTCATTTAGTGTTTGTTTTTTCAAATTTTCAAGTTCGCGTAAAATGAAATCATTTTCCAAGAAATATTCCTTATTGTACACTGACATCAAACTGTTAAACCACATCAGTTGTTTGACCAATGATTTATCGACAAGTTGTTGTAGATTATCTGTCCACGCAGATATGTTGTAAGATGTAATATCTGTTACATCTTTTATAAAACAAAATAATTTAAATATATATATTTTATGTTCATTTTTGCATATATTGCCAAATGAGGTATCATTCGCATTCAGTGAAAAAACAGTTTCGTTAATCCAGTTTAAATAATTAATTCCAGTAAATAGGTGCTTTAGTTCCTGAATATCATTGTTAAAAATTTCGTTTGTAACAAATAGATGTCTCGACTTGAAGCACTTTAGACTTCTGTCGAAAATATTTTTCTTTTTACTTTCATCAGAATTGTTGTCATTCCTTTGAATTTGTTTCAGTAATGAGTTGAAATGCTTTAAAAAATTGTCGCTCTCAGAATTAATGTTAAATCCAATCGAATCGCAAGCGTAATCATTGTCGAATGCTTTTAGGGATGTGTACTTTGTTTTTTCTCCAAACAATTGTTCTCGCAATTGCAATAATTCGGAGAAACTCTCACCTGCCTGTAGTTTTTTGTTAACGTATTCTACCAGAGGGCAATTTGTGCAACTTGGTTTTAGAGGAACTAAAATATCTTCATAAAAAGGATACTCTTTCTTTACATTAACAAAATCAAACGTTACACCCAACTGATCGCTTAATAGCATTTTTTGACAGTATATAGTGAAATAATTGTCTAGAATGTTTACAGGGTAAACAAAGTAGTATACATTGTAAGCTTCAAACAGATAAAAATTTGTCGATATCATATTATACATCTTACTCCAATGTCTGTTCTTAATTTCTTTATCGTATAATATCCTTTTGCTGTGAGATATATTTCTAACTCTGTTTATTCCATCAGTAAATTCACGTGCTATAGTTACTATTAATGGTTTATAATTTTTTCGAAATAGCCATTGATCAAGTACAAGGGAGTAATCATAAAGAGTACAGATATCATCATCAGGCATGGATGTTCCTTCCTTTTCTTCTACCTGTGAAATACCAATTTTGACAAGTATTCATAAATTTTTAGCACATAATCATACAGAGAATGAAATTTCTTCACCCATGCCCAGCTTAAAATCCCCGTAAAGGATCCTCAAAGGATTCCTAACGGATCCTGTAAAGTTCCTGCATAGGATATTGGGACAAGGTTCCTGCGTAGGAACCTACATAAGAACCCGTGTGGGAACCTTGATTGATGAAGAAACAATTGTATTTTGCTTATTATAATATTTTCTTATTCTTCTTTGGATCTTATATAGGTTCCTCTACAGGATGGCAATAAAAGCAGGAATTCATGCAGGTCCCTATGAGGGAAAATTTTTGTGTAAAGTCTGTTGTTAAGGTTCCCACACAGGAACCGGAGAAGGACCCCGACAATTAAGGATTCCACATGGGTCCTTATGCAGGTTCCTACGCAGGAAGCTTGTCCCAATATCCGGTCGGGATCCCGTACAGGACAAGTCAAGGGCCGCGTGCAAGCGACCTGCGCGGGCTGCTTAATTATTTATTTAAACCCATCAAACTTGTCAGGCCTTCTCTGAAACTTTTTGCAAAACCTTCTTAGCATTTTCAGGTATATTTAAAAAAATATCATACCCAAAGTTACAAAACTTAATTTTTTATAAATTTTTTTTATTTTTCTTAATAAAAAATTTTTAAAAAAATTTTTGTAACCATTATTCAAAAGTAGAGAGAAAAAAAACTATTTTTCTCTTGTCAAAAAATGAAAAGAAACAATATTTTTCGAGTTTTATCTGACATTAAAAATAGATCTACATTTAAAAAACGAAAATTTTGAAAATTCATAACTCAAAAATTTGATCTCCAAAAAAAGTACGTATCTATTTTTTTTAATACAGAAAAGAAAAAAATATGTTTGGCCGATTTTAAAAGGTCGACTGAAATTTTACGTGAAATTGACCATATATATTGAGATTAAGCTTATAAACTAAATTTAATTAAACAAAATCTTCTAAAATTATTTTTATATTTCAATGTTTTCTCAGTGTAAACTGTCAATATGCCTTTGTAGATGTGGCAAACATTTTGTCTATTTTATATTTTGTGTATATTAAATAACACATTATTTAATATCACATCACGACTGTTTGATAAAATTTTTTTAAACTATTGTACAGGAATTATTAAATTTTTAATAAATCTTTTTATTGACTTTTTTAAACTTTAAATCCCATCCTCATTATATGAGTCCAATGCGGCGTAGGCTGCTTTCAATGCGGTACACAATCGGTACATAGTGCAAGTCGCCAGTAGAGGGCAGAAGCAAGCAGAGCGAATCGAGCGAACACAGTGGCCCAGCTGACATATGATTTGCATTACATTACTTTCCAATTTTTTATTTTATAACCACGTTTCTGCATGAATCTAAACAATATTTTCGATTATTGTAATTTAGAAGAACCCGTACAAGATTTTGTACAAGATCTTGTACGGGTTCATGTGCAAGTACTTGTACATTTTGTTTAAACAATAAAAAACGCGTTTCTAACAGAAATGTTTTGACATTTTTCTGAAAATATGGAACTCACATGAGGGCAAATCTATGAGGGACCGCATGGATTGCCCACATCATTGACTAGAAAAAATTTCTAAGTTAAAAAGAAAAAATTTTTTTACATAAGAAAATTAATGTTCATAATGATTTTAAACTATAAAAAACGCGTTTTTAACACAAATGTTTTAACATTTTTTTTTTGAAATGATGAAAATATTAATTTATAAATATTTATGGTCTATTATTATATTATTAATATTGTTGTTATTATTATTAAATTATTATTATTATTATTATTATTATTATTTTATTATTATTTTATTATTATTATTATTATTATTATTAAACTATTTAATTACTTGTCATGGTGCATTAGTCTCAATAAATAACACAGCCCCACAAAAAAAAAGTGTCGTGCGCGGCAGACCAGACTAGTCATTTCCTATGTATTTTGACGCGCTGAACACGAATCCGAAGTCCGTTTTGCTCCATCACGTCAGGATATTTTTCTAACCTCAAAAAATTGTCGGATTTTGAGAGGTAGGCTATTTTTTCTTAAATTAATGGATTTACTTCAAACTTGGTAACTAGGGGTTTTTTGGGTCGCTGATGACAAATTTAAAGTTAGATTTTCAAAATTCAAAATGGCGGCTCCAATATGGCGGACGAATTTTTTAAAAGTTAACCCAGGCTACCAGTTACTTGTTAGACAATTTCCTCAGTGATCACAGGTTACCAATAACGCAGTTACTAGTATGTTACAAGTTATTCAGTTAACATCATAATGGTTGACTTTTACAAGTTACACTTGTGTTCATTTGTTACCGTGAAAACTTGTAACATACTAGTAACTAAAATTAGTGATCCTAAAATCACTGAAAGTTTGTGCACATGAGTTTAATTTTTGTTATTCATGTATTTATTGAATATATTTTATCATTTAATTTACATGAAATATTTAGGTAAACAATCATGTCATAAGACAAATTAAATATATTAACCCACATAGCACAATAGTATGAGGTAAGGTTATGTTGAATACTAATCGTAAGGCACATAAGGTTACACGATATTGCTGTGGTAGACCTAAGGTGAACTAAAAACTTCCGCCATGGAGGTAAGGTTACACGTTAGGGTGTCGTGACTATATATGATAAGGCCATGGTAACCTTACACGTTAAGGTTAAGGTAACGTTACATTTTAAGGTTGAGGTAAGGTTACATGTTAAGGTTGAGGTAACGTTACACGTTATGGTTGAGGTAACGTTACATGTTAAGGTTGAGGTAACGTTACATGTTAAGGTTGAGGTAAGGTTACATGTCAAGGTTGAGGTAAGGTAATTATTAAGTTGTAAGGTTGAGGTAAGGTTAAGGTAAGGTTGTGATAAGTTTACCAGTTATGGAAAATATTGAAAAAATAATTAATAAATAAATATTCAATTAAAATGTTAAGTTTGTTGCTCTTCTCTATTTTGGAAACCTGACATGAAGCAGAAAATTTTGAAAACAAATTTGGGAGGACTGGGATTCGAACCCGGGATCGACGCGCATAAACCTATCATTCTAACTAACTGAGCTAAGTAGAGAACTGGCAGAAGGAAAATAAATGTTGCCTTTAAGGAGTTAATCATCTTTTTGGTTCACCTTAAAGGCAACATTAATTTTCCTTCTGCCAGTTCTCTACTTAGCTCAGTTAGTTAGAATGATAGGTTTATGCGCGTCGATCCCGGGTTCGAATCCCAGTCCCCCCAAAGTTTTCAAAATTTTCTGCTTCATGTCAGGTTTCCAAAATAGAGAAGAGCAACAAACTTAACATTTTAATTAAATATTTATTTATTAATTATTTTTTCAATATTTTCCATAACTGGTAAACTTATTACAACCTTACCTCAACCTTACAACTTAATAATTACCTTACCTCAACCTTGACATGTAACCTTACCTCAACCTTAACATGTAACGTTACCTCAACCTTGACATGTAACCTTACCTCAACCTTAACATGTAACGTTACCTCAACCTTAACGTGTAACCTTACCTCAACCTTAACATGTAACGTTACCTCAACCTTAACGTGTAAGGTTACCATGGCCTTATCATATATAGTCACCACACCCTAACATGTAACCTTACCTCCATGGCGGAAGTTTTTAGTTCACCTCAGGTCTACCACAGCAATATCGTGTAACCTTATGAGCCTTACGATTAGTATTCAACATAACCTTACCTCATACTATTGTGCTATGTGGGAAAATCTTTCTAGACCGGTTCCATAAATAATTTTGTATGAAGACATCTAAATTTGCCTCAGTTGTATCTGTAAGAATTATTAATTTTGCTATTAAAACAATATTATATTCAAACGTTCACGCTCTGAAAGAAATCAAATATTTTCTAAATTAAACTGAAAAAAATAATAGGCTTAATGTGATTTTTTACTTATTTTTCCCAAGTACAAAATCAATACATGCAAAGCAAATTGTTTGTTAAAAAAAAATTTTGCCTTAATTAATAAGATTACAACCTTTTGTCTTTTATCAAGTAAATGGTTTATATAATATATACCTAATGTTAAATCGAATTTTAAAATTAATTAAAAGAATAAATACCAAAGTATTTTATGCTATAAAAATAAAATTATTTTATACATTAAAACTATATATGTAGATACATAAAACTGGTCCATTTTGGTTGTAGAGTTCACACACGTATAACTATTTTTAAAATTGACAAAGTGGTTCTCTTATTTTTCTTATTTAATTAAAATAAAATAATAAAAATAAAAGTTTCTCTAAATATTCAAATAAAGATTTGTCTTGTGATTATAACCTTATTAATTAAGACAAAAATTGCTTTTTTAATGCTGTTTTATGGTCTCTTAAATTTCTAGATTACGTGCGACAAACAGTTATCACCAAAAAAATACGACACTGCCTGGTTTAAATGACGTGAAATTGGTAAACAATCATTTTCGAACAAGTTTTTCTCTTCACACAGGAACTTTTTACAAAACTTGCCCACGAACTAATGACACAAATCTTCTTAATTATCTAAAATCGAAAGATTTTTTTAATCCTTTCAGAAACGTGGTTGCAAAATGGGAAATACTGTAGCAATGTAATGCGAATAATATTGACAGCTGAGCCTTTACGCTCGCTGCATGCTTCTGCCCTCTAACGGCAAATGGCTGTAATAAACATCTTTCCGCCTGTCATTACATTACTTTTGTATTTCCCATTTTGCAACCACGTTTTTGAAAGGATTAAAAAAATCTTTCGAATTTAGATAATTAAGAAGATTTATGTCATTGGTTTGTGGGCAGATTTTGTAGAAAGTTCCCGTGTGGTGAGAAATACTCGTTCGAAAATGATTGTTTACCAATTTCGTGTCATTTAAACCAGGTAGTGCCGTTTTTGCTTTTGTTCTCAGACAAAAATTGCCTATATGTAAAAAACATCATTTGCCATTTTT